TGGCACTAATGTTGTTTCTACTTTAAAACTACAACAGTTTATATTCCAAAATCGGCTCTTACATTTAATTTGCTTTAATTTTAACCCTTTATATATTTAACCTATATAGAGAATCATCAGCAAATCAATTGAGCCTTTTTTTTAAGGTAGAAGAATCTATTTTATATCTAAAGTATAAAGGATGGACAAAAAGTGTGAAAACACACATTTGGGTGAATAATATACAAAAGTTGGGTAACTTGATGTCATCAGACAATTAGGTACAACATTTTATTATATATTTACTATTATTTCATTTTATTTTAAAACAATTAAAAGCCCTTTATTGGTTCACCCAATTTCAGGGATTTGTTTTGAAAACAAGATTGTGAAACTACAAGAAATCGTCAAAAAGTCATCAGTACTTTGGCACATACAATCCCAAAACAGCATCCAAGTGGCTGTATATTAAATTTTTGCCACACTGCAGATGAAATTGCAGCAGAAGGTGAACATGTACTCTTAATAGTTTTTTTTTACGAGTTACGGTTTAATTAAATGTTTTTTCTATTGCATCTCTGTATTCTTTATTTAATAGTACTGAAACTAATGTTTTACTAGTTTATAGAGGTGTACTAGTCTGTTTTGATGGAATATCAACCCACACATTTTCTAAAGTTTCAGAGATCTTGTTTGTTATCATCAGTGTTTGTAGTGGTCACTTGAGTGTTTATTGTTTCATTACTGAAACCTATTATCATTTCAGGCATTATCAGTACTGTTGTCGTTGGTAAGCTTATTTGAGTTTGGATTACAAGAACATCATATAACAATAATAAGGGACCAATATCCAAATAACTTCCTGAAATGCAATGTTGAAATTTTGTTATCGATTAAGGATTCTGATGCATGAATAGATGAATAAATAGTAACCAGAACATTTGAGTTAGAATACTTTTATCTTGGTCTGTGTTGTACAGAATTTCTGGAGACTTAAATGGACTTAGCGGTCTTATATTGCTTTATTGGAGGATTAAGTCTTTGTTGGCCTGTCTGTGTGTAACAATATTGATCTGAGAAGACTTTCTTTTCAATTTCCTTATCTCATTCACTAAAATAGCAACTGTTATGTTTTTTCTGCCAAAGATGATTTAAAATGCTTTAAAACTTTTCTTGTGGAAACTAGGTCTGCGTTAGTTATTTCTTTAGAAATATTTCTTTTTTTCAACTATTCTTTCTTTCATCTATCACCGATTAGTCTTTCCAGGGTATTCTGGATTCATTTTTTGTGTGCATTGAGATCTATTTAATAAAGTCCGCATTTTCTAAAGCCATTTGCTTATTATATTGCTTTGAAGAAGGCATCTGAAGAAAAAAAATTTATTGAATTTTCTTCCTAAAACGCACCGTGATAGAAATATATCATTAAATGGCCGTAAACATAAACTAAAGCAGCATTCTATTTTCGGCTGCCTTATTCTTTCATAAAATTTTAAGTTGGCCGAAAACTAAATAACTACTTTAGAGTCAATCCAGTTTTCGGCCACGACCGAAATGGGTATTTTTGTTTCATCACTAACTGTTCAAATTGCAGTACTTGGTGGCCAAAAACTGAAAGTTAGTGTCACGCTATGATTCAATATAAGTAAGAAATATGAATTATAGTATGTAACCGAATAATAGGACAATTTTATGTGTCACTTTTCGGCCACTTAATTTATTAACTTTATCAATAAAGTATTATAAAATTCAATGTGAAATAACTGTATTAGGGTATTTATACAGTGAAATATAAGCACAATATTAAATAAAATCATAGTAAATACAGCACGAAACTTTTAAATGGAACGCGCGCCACTATTTTTTTTGCTCGATTTTACAGGTTTTGACAGCTTCTGTGGCGGCGTCAAACTATTTATTATAAATTGCATGTTGTGTTTACCTGATTAATTAATGTTACCAGATATAGTGCAACTATTTACAAATGCATTAAACTTCAGTTCTTACGATAATATTTATTAAAACTGTTATTAAATAAAATTTACTGCATCCCCTCTTGCCAAAGGCCGAAAACTAGACCCGGCCGGCTTACCGGCGCATCGACCCTAGTAGTTTTTAGACTTTTTTTTATTATGTGTGAGCAGCTATGCAGGTCTATGGAATAAGACCAGTATCACTGCAACCTAGAAGATCTATTGTGATCGCTGCTATGGCTATAATTCACGGCTAAGCCCTATGTCTTCAATGAATAGAAGGAGTTGCTTAGCCGTGAGCAATTTCACTTCTTCTGGGCGAAGTAGATAGTTTCCCAGATGAGTGTTACGTTTGCACATTAAGGGTACGCAATCATTTAGGATGTGTAGAGGTGTTTCTTCCATTACGGAACAGAACCGACACATCCTTGAGTTGCGTAGTTGGACATGTGCTTTTTAAGACAACAGTGTCCAGTTAGGGCTCTTGCCAGAATGCGCAATTTATTTGTACTTAATCGCAGGGCTTCTGAGGCAAATTTAGCCCGGATTAAGGTTTTAGTATGTTTTAAGCCTGGTGTATCAGACCAGATCTTAAGTAATTTATTGTGATAAAGAGTTTCAAGAGTCAATCAGGCTAGGCTTCTTGAGATTACACAAAATGGCTCAGGTCCAAATTGTGTGCACTTTGAGCCCTCCTGTGCCAGTTTGTCAGCAAATTCGTTGCATACAATACCCTCGTGATCCAGAACACATCTTAAAACAACCCTGTTGTTACATCCCAGGGAGTTTAAATGGTTCACGAAGTCTCCAACTAGCTATGAGTTCATTAACTTTGACCTCAACACTAGCAGTGCTGCTTGACTATCAGAGTTTTTGTAAATTATATGGTTGACGTAGTGTTTTTGCAGATTGATCTCCGCACACCGAAGTATGGTGAAAATTTCTGCCTGGAAGATAGAGTTGTATCTACCCAAATTCATGTAAATGCATATGAGGCTACCGACCTCACAGATAACCTGGCCATTCAGCCAGTCTTCTCTGGAGGGTAATTCCACTATATACTTATTATCAAAAGTTTGTAGTGGACGTATGATATCTGAGATCATGCATAAGACCGGTGATTCCTTAATTGAGTTGAGCATGGATCTCGATTTGTAGGAGAGCAAGCTCAGACCACCCTAGGCGTTAATCCTATACAAACTAGCCCTTGCCTCCTTGACTTTTTTTAGATTTTTTTAGACTTGCAACAATATTATATTTGGCCACACTTCAAATACCAAATATTCTGCGGACTTCCCGGCCAATTATCCGAATATTAGGCAAAAGTATTGGACCAGGAAGCGGGTAGTGTTTATTCTTCAGAGAGTGTCTATTCTTTGAAGCTGAGATTTACTATGACAAGAAAAGGAGTAAACTAAAGTGTGCAAAAAAAAGAAAAATCACTGTTACTTGCACCATTATCTTCCACTTTAATTGTGGTTATTCAAATGCAGTGCATAGAAATTAATTTATTAGTTTTTTTAATGGTTTTAAAATGGAACTTGATTATGTACATTTGACTACTTTAATGAAAACAAGAAAAAATATTTAATAATATATAAATATTTTCATTTTACCAGTTATCTGACTACAATAAAGTGTATTACTTAAGTATTCAGTATGTGGCTGAATAGTATCTAGATATTCAATATACAACCGAATAGTACCTAGATATTCAATATGCGACCGAATAAGATAAAAGTAGCCAAATGGGTCAAATACTGAATAATAGCATAATATTAGTTGCAAGTCTAGTATTTTTCAATCAAATGCAATGAAATGCATGTTTATCGAATTAGATTTTTAACTGGCTATATTTTATCTATTAGATCCTTTACTTCATATAAAAATAAGTTTTAAATAAAGTAAATTTTTGTTCACCGAATGTAGCATGCTTACTTCAAGCTGGACAAATATCAAACTTAAAAGGCAGAGCACAAGCATCTGACTACTACTAATAGTAGAGATTCACACTAAGATTAACATGAATGTAATATTCCTTTTATCATTTTCCATAGTTATTTTATTGAAATTAAACTTTTTTATTAACATAGTGGAGAAATTCAGCATGGTATAAAAAAATGTCATGTTTTCTTGTATCATTTCATCTATGGGGCTGCATGAGTATACTATTAACTTATATATGTAAAATATAAAATGCTTCACTTCGTATGTGTGTACACAATTACATACACAATTTATTTTATTTATGAAAGGATAACAATCTATCAAATAGTAATTTCAGTCATTGTAGTTCACAGACTTCTACTTTGTAAGAATAAGAATATAGAGACTATTTATATATAATTTATTCTGTTATAACTTAAAAAATGTTAAAGGATGTTGTTTATATTTGCATAGCTTTAGATATCACAAAAAATATACTTTAAAAATACACTTAATTTTAGTATAAATTTATATTAGTATTATATTAAATGCAAATAAAACAAAATATATTGCACAGAGTATTTATATGCGTGGTTTTTAATGAGTTAAAATAAAAACAAATATTTCAATTGAAGAAATATAACTTGGTACTGTACTCATCAATTAATAAAACAAATAAAATTTAATTTAATTTATCATAATGGAAAGAGGTAACTATAAATTTAAAAATATGAATATTAGTGGAACACAAAATATCTTTCAAGAAATAAGAATAAATTATTGATAATAATTAAAGTTATTATAATTAGTAAAATGTCATTGTGTTGCATAAACTTAGTTAATTGGAAGAGAATGCCTAAAGACATTGTCTGCTCTGTATTATTGTTTTAAAATGTTAACAATAAAGTGTAAACGAATTAATATATAAAATAAGAAAATGTAATCTGGTACTCATTTAAAACCCATTTTTAAATAAAGTACCTGTATAATATTGTCTAATGCAATATTTTTTGAGTTCAGCTAAAGAAGGAAAACAATACACCTAATAAATTTCTGAACATGCAGAGCATATTTAGATTACTGTTAGTGAAAATAGTAGGTTAAACATAATTTTGTACTTACTGTAGAATTTCTGTAGGGTCCTCCTTGAGGATTATATGGAGGCATTGGTCGTGGCGGAGGCCAACCAGGGGCGGGACCATAACCCGCCGGTGGCTGCTCATAGCTATTGGGATAGCGGTGTGGCGGCGCACCGCTCGATTGCAGCAATGAGTTAAGTGTGGGCGTGGGACCTGGCGCCTGTGATGCAGGCTGACCCGGAAAGAATCTCTGTTGCGGCGGAGGGCGCGGTTTACCGGGAAAACCAGGCCGCGCCGCATAATATGGATCTGCCCCTTCTGGATAACGATACTGGCCGTACTGGTCCGTTACCGGCCGTTCGCCGCTCCTATCGTGACCAGGTACTTCGCCACTGTCGCGTGGCTGCCCGGAATCGGCCGACATCGCCGATTTGCTCTTTGTGTTCACAACGCCATCGGGCGGAACGCGCCCTACGTTCTTGTCAGTGCCGTTTTGTAATAGAGCGCTCCGAGATTCACTGAGCTGCTCCGATGGACTCTGATCTACGTTCACTTCGCCACGCTGAGACTCTGCCTGCGTCGCAGCCATGTTCGGCTGGTAGCGGCCGTCCCTGCTTACACTCGCTCTAGCGATCGACCGGCTCACTTACGTTACATCGAAAACAGGCGTCGGATTGCAAAACCGCGACGCGGACACTTCCATCACTATCAAGCCGTTTAACTTTGCACAAATTGTAACGCGAAACTGACGAAAAATCGTTCACCGAGGCACACACATCGATCACATATCTACTCCATTGGCGTAAACGAGGTTATGGAAAAGGTTACATATCTAGCGGGCGCTTTTGTAATGTTCACACAGAACATTTCATATCACTTTCACATTTATAACACTACAGATGCAATCACTTTTTAAAATACTCATTCCCTATTCTATAGATAGGTGAAATATTCAAAAACAGAACAATAGAATCACGAAACTTCCAAAATTATTAGCGTCCGCCATTAAACGGACTTGAAATTCTACAGCACTCGGTGACGCTTTTGGCTATCTTCACTTCGATGACAGAAAAATAAAAATGTAGCATTTGTAGCTTGTGTAATCATAAAATAACTCTGAAGTATGTATATTATTTTGAAATAGTATAATGATAAGCCTTAAATGTTAAGTTCTAAGCACCAAATATGGAAAAATTAACCAAGAATTATCTGTGCATGTTTACATTTCCGTAATATTGCGACCACGTAGTTACTGCAGGAGTGCCAACATCAATATTTGTCTATGACAAGTTCCGCTGGCGCCAAGACTGTTGTAGCTATGTTCACTTTGAATTATGAAAAATATAACATCGTAATATATCACTTTTAGTGATAATTTGTTGATGAAGAAATGTTCCCATAAAGTAGTGCTTTTATTTTTAATTCAGAAAATTTTCATACCTAATATTAAGATATAAAGACAAAGAATATTAAAATAAATCGATATTGACTACTAAACATGTAACTTTATAATACCAACTTAGAAAAGTCATGGTAGGACAAAGATAATAGATTCTATTATAATCGATTATAATCTATCATTTAATAAAGGCTGCACAGATATCCTGTTTCACCTGCTGCGTTCTAGCCTCGAGTAAAATAATTATAAACGGGTGTTTTAAAAAAGATTTTTAGAAAAAAACTTTTTACCATGGAGGTTAGAGAACAGGAGAACGATCGCCATAGAAAATAATGTCACAGAAATTAGTACACCATAAGTGAAGCGCTGCGATCGCTAAGTTCGCTTAATAAAAGTCATTTTGAGTCTATGCTTCCGATCAGATGCTAAACACAGCCGTGTTAACTCAGATGGTTAGCGTTCGCTGTAAATTTCACAGTACGTGAGCAAACCGGGTTCTATCCCCGCCGGCACCAATGAAATTGTTAATTGCAATTTTAAGTGCTGATTTACCACGTGCTCGGCGGTGAAGAAAAACATCGTGAGGAAACCTGCATGTCTGAAAAATAAGAAAAAAAATATTTCGAAGACGTGAAGTTCGCCAACACGCATTGGGGCAGCGCGGCGGACAATTCCTTGCCCTAAAACCCTCTCAGAAATGAGAGGAGGTCTGTGCCCAGTAGTGGGACGTATATAGGCTGTAACTTTACTTTACTATGCTAAACCACTTGCACATCCACGCAAAATAAAATATTTCTCCATTTTTTAATGTTTCTTTTTGTCAAAAATAAAAAAAATTACGGAGCATGAAAATTTTCTCGCATTTGTATATTATTATTCAACTAACTTAATCTACTTGTATTCATAAACACCTAACTTCGCAGCCACTATTCACCGACGTCATTTCTCAATTCTACAAATTTTCAAGGACAGGCTTATGCTATGCTTTAGTACGTAGCGATCGTTCTGCTGTTCTCTAACTCCATGGTTTTTACGCTATCAATTTCGTCAAGTATTTTAGATCCTGAGACAAAAATAGTTTCCATCTATCTTTTTAAACATTATGAAAGGAACCATTTTTTATCATAATTCCTCTTTATTGTACTTAAAAAAGTTACTACCACAGTAGGATATTTTCCTGCATTGTGGAGACGGTTTACGAGGACGACACTGAAAGTTTTTAGAACTGGCTACTTGTAAACGATATATTGAAAAAATAAGTACAAATTTTGAAAATGAACTCTGCCAATATTTGAAAATCTTTTCCAATACGTGTACGTATGCAAACTACACCTTCAGATCCCTCCATCAATTCCGGAGGTAAGGTCTCATCATAACTACCAAAACGAGCTCAAACTCTGCACACCAAGTTCTATTCGGCGACGAGTTCCAACAGCGGTTACCAAAGTATACCTTCAGGTTAATCCATCAAGACTGGAGATAAGTTCTCACTATAACTACCAAAACGAGCCCAAGCTCTGCACACCTAGATCTACTCGGCGAAGAGTTCTAATTGTGGTTACCAAAGTACACCTTCAGGTCACAACAACAAGTCCGGAGGTAAGGTCTCATTATAATTAACAGAACGAGCCCAAACTCGGCACACCTTGTTCTACTAGGCGAGGAGTTCCAATAGAGGTTACCAAAGTGCACCTTCAGGTCACTTCATTAAGTCCAGAGGTAAGGACTCATCATACCTAACAAAACGAGCCTAAACTCGTCACACCTAGTTTTACTTGGCGACGAGTTCCAATAGCGGTTATTACACCTTCAGGTTACTCGATCAAGTCAGGAGGTAAGGACTCATCATACCTAATATAACGAGCCCAAACTTGGCACACCTAGTTCTAATCGGCGACGAATTCCAATAGCGGTTATTACACTTTCAGGTCACTCCATCAATTGAGGAGGTAAGGACTCATCATACCTAACAAAACGAGCCCAAACTCGTCACACCTAGTTTTACTTGATGACGATTCCCAATCGAGGTTACCGAAGTACCCCTTCAGGTCACTCCATCAAGTCAGGAGGTAAGGACTCATCATACCTAACAAAACGAGCCCAAACTTGGCACACCTAGTTCTACTCGGCGACGAGTTCCAATAGCGGATATTACACTTTCAGGTCACTCCATCAATTGAGGAGGTAAGGACTCATCATACCTAACAAAACGAGCCCAAACTCGTCACACCTAGTTTTACTTGGCGACGATTCCCAATCGAGGTTACCAAAGTACACCTTCAGGTCACTCCATCAAGTCAGGAGGTAAGGACTCGTCATACCTAACAAAACGAGCCCAAACTTGGCACACCGAGTTCTACTCGGCGACGAGTTCCAATAGCAGATATTACACTTTCAGGTCACTCCATAAATTCAGGAGGTAAGGACTCATCATACCTAACAAAATGAGCCCAAACTTGGCACGCCTAGTTTTTTGTTATATTGCACCTTTACTATATAATAGAGTAATAATGGGTACACCCACCCTTTAACACGAGCAAACTGTAAATTTACTATTAAAACATGGTTACTGACTAAACACTATGATGATAGTGAGGCTCTTATCAAAAAATTTGATCATTCTGAACACAAACACACACACACACACACACACACACACACACACACACACACACACACACACACACACACACACACACACACACACACACACACACACTACACACACACACACACCGCACGCACACACACATACACGCACACATTTTGTTGTTGTTTTTTTTTCTCTTTTTAAATTTATATTATATTTCTTTTGAAATACATTTCTCATTGGTACATACTTTGCATGATTCTTTGTCCGGTGGTGGAGGCCTGGTGGCTGTAGCACAGGGAAACCTAGTATTGTCACCAGTCTCTACAACTAGCATTTGTAAGTTACTTAAAATTTTAGTTGTAATGATGTTATAAACTGCAATTTTGTAGAGAGAAAAATAAGGATTATTATTATTATTATTTCTCGGCGACGAGTTCCAATAGCGGTTAACAAAGTACACTTTCAGGTCACACCATCATGTCCGGAGGTAAGGGATTATCAAAACTAAGAATACAAACCCAAACTCTAGTTCTACTTGTCCAGCATTTCCAGTAGTAATCACTAAATTACATCTTCCGGTCACTCCATCAAGACCGGAGGTAAGGTCTCATAACAACTAATAAAACGAGCCTAAGCTCGGCACACTTAGTTCTTACTCGTCCAGGAGTTCCCGTAGTAGTCCCCGAACTACACCTTCAGGTCACTTCATCAAGTCCTGAGGTAAGGTCTTATCATAACTGACAAAACCAGCCCAAAGTCCACAGCTAACATTAGAGGGCTTCCAGTGCCAAGCAGTCTCTGGAGTAGGTATTCGTATTTCGTATCTAACACTAATTAGTCTACGTATCTGAGTATATTTTTGAGGTATAAGAAATCAAAAACAAATTCAAACTTTCAAATTATCAAAATAATTTTATTTGACTACGATTCCTGCAGCCAACCGTGCGTACACTTGTGTGTGTGTGACCGGTGTCAATGTAATTAATCGATTCTATACCTAACAATTTTGTAAACGCGTCCTTAAACGACATGTTTTAATCCGACCATGTTTAAAATATCTAAAGAAGTCTTCGATATTGTTAACGTACTTTTAAAAGTACGGGACAGCCATTAATTTTTACGAGTAGAAATTAATTTCCCTTAGAATGTTTATACTCTTTTAGATATACCTTATATAGTACTTACTAATTACAAAAGGATTTATCAATTTTACCTATTACGAAGTTGAGGTTTGGCTGTTCTTCATTGCTTGTTTATTCCATAGGCACACGACACCTTCGTACCTTGTTGAACAAAACGCATAAGCGACGCCGTTTCGGCGGCGTTTACGACATTCTTCTCGCGAGCATTGAGCTATAATGCTTCCTACCACATTTTCTCCCACGTTAAATCATATGAATTTATGTGTCTGTCTCTTTTTACCGCTTTTTCGTTTTATAGACTTTCAAATCACAACGACGGTGCTAAAGAAGTTTTCAAAAAAAAACATAACATAAACACGCCTGTCACCCAGAGGGGTAGGCAGAGACTACGGACTTCCATTTGGCACGATCCTGACATACTTCTTTCGCCTCCTTTACATCCATATATTTACGTATACATGCTTGTCGATTAAGGGTACTTCTAATGTGGCCCATTTTCAAAATATCGCTAATTTGGTCGATAAACTTTTTGGTCAAAGAATGAATGGGGAAAGAGTGACAAAGTAAATTTATATGGCAGATGTGAACGGCAGAGTCGGGAAGGGACGCCCTAGAAGAAGTTTTCACTTCAATAAATAACCAACAGGCACTACGTACGTACCGTATGTTTTGTATGTGTTGAAAGTCTTGGGTAACCTCATGGACTTATAAAAAAAGACGGAATGGATCTCGCTATACAACTCAGTGAAGCATCCAAAATAAGTCAGCTCCCTTGTACTCACTGTGTCTTGAAGTGTCAGAATATTCCAGTAAATACGGGCGCCGACTGACCAAATACCGACCGATCGAGTTTGGGGCTTCTAGAAAGCCTAATTCTTCTGTTCGATACTAGATGGCGCTGTTGGTCAAAAGTTCAAGATTGAAATTTTCTAGGAAGGCCTACTCACTCTGGTCATCGACACTAGATGGCGCTAGTGCCAGGTACCTGACGTCAATTTAGGCGTGCAACACTGCCCCCTCCTAAGACATGCTCGTCCCGAGCATTATCGGCCCCATAATAACGCGCCAGGCGATCCACATGAACGATCTTATCCATACTAATATAATAAATGCGAAAGTGTGTTTGTTTGTTATTGTTACAAGCTTGAGATTCGTGACAATAAAAATTGCCGATAGAATTACCAAAATTAACTTTTTAATTCACTTTACACTAATTAAAACTTAGAACACTAATAATTAATCACACTGATTCACTTTATTTCGCTCCGAAGCTTCGCTTGACTCGCCAAATTCAATACTTCCCCGCTCGCATCTTGCAGCGCCTTTAAATACACATTATCACCGAAACATCCAGAATGTTCAAGTAAATACGCACGCCAATCGACTAGGCGCCGAAAGTTAGAGTGTCGGGCTTCTAGAAGCTTAGTTCTTCGTTTCGAAACTAGATGGCGCTGTCGGTTGAAAGATTAGTGATGTCATTTTCTGGAAAGCTCTCCTCGCTCCATTACCCGACACAGATGGTGCTAGTGCCAGATGTCAACTTAGGCGCGCAACACTGCCCCCTCCTAAGACATGCTCGTTCCGAGCATTATCGGCCCCATAATAACGCGCCAGGTGATCCACATGGACGATCTTAGGAGTCCCTCTTGCGCCTTTCTTTATCCGGTTACATCGTTGATCCTGGTTACAATACGGTACGGGCCGTCCCATTTAGCTTGAAGCTTAGGAGATTTCCCTTTGCTGCGGACTGGATTGTGCAACCACACTAGTGAACCTTCATCGAACCCTTTGTTGTTCATTTTGCGGTCATACCGGGTTTTCATCTTTTCAGACATTTGCTGGCCCGATTGTGCTCATAAATGTCATTCATTTTGTTCCGCAAGTCATTTGCATAATCGGTTATACTGCGTGGGGCATCAGGTGGTATCCCGGTAATCAGGTCTGCAGGCAGCCGTAATCCTCTTCCAAAGTTTGCGAAAGCTGGTGTCGCTGCTGTACTTTCGTGAACAGCGCTTCGATATGACAACAAAAACGGTTGTATGTACTTGTCCCAATCTCGTTGCCGATTGTCTAAAACTTTTGCTAGGTACCTCTCCAATGTTTGATTAAATCGTTCTACCATTCCATCATATTGCGGGTGATAAGAAGTCGTTCTTGTTTTATGAGTACCCATAACTCGGCAAGTTTCCTGGAATATTTGAGACTCAAAATTCCTTCCTTGATCGCTGTGAATCTCTAAAGGTACTCCAAAATGACAGAAGACTTCATGAACTAGTTTATCTGCAACTGTTGAAGATTCTTGATTCGGAATGGCGAAGAATTCTGGCCACTTAGTGAAGTAATCCATCCATCCATCACAACAGCCCCGCCACGTCAATGGCTATTCTCTCTCATGGTGCACCAATATTGTACAACTTCAATGCACCTCTACTACGAGTCTGAGGTCCCTTTACAGCCGCACAACTTGTACATTTGCGACACCAGTCCTCGACATCGTTCGACAGTGGACCCAGTAAAACCGTTCTCGGATCTTCAGTAGAGTTCGTTTAACTCCGAGATGGCCTCCTGAACAATCATTATGGTACAGCTGTAGAACATCCGGTACTCTAGCTTAAGGGACGACCATTTGCAAATGACAGCTGTCTCCCCGAACATTTTCCCATTTACGGCTTAGAACTCTATCCTGAAGCAGCAAGCTGTCCCATTGGGCCCAATAGCTTTAAGTGGTCGAACTCATTGCTGAGACGTCGCTCCATTTGGGCTTGGGAGCACTGGCTTTTATCCATTCCAGAATCGGCTTGATGTCCGGATCTTCCTGCTGTGCATGTAGCAAGCTGTCCTTCCACCCGTTGCTGAGGTGGTCTGTCCTGAGCATCCTCACGGATACCACTTCCTTACTCTCTTACTTACTACAATGGTTGCAATCTTCAGGACAAGTTCTTCTTGACAATGCATCTGCGTTGCCATGAGATTTCCCGCTGCGATGTTCGATCTCAAAGTCGTATTCCTGCAGTAAGTAGTTCAATCCACCTCGCAACTTGCCCTTCTGGATTTTTAATCTGCAATAGCCATTTTAGTGCAGCATGGTCAGTTCGTAAGTGAAATTTCTGCCCCAGAAGATATTTGCTAAAATGCTGCAACGATTTTACCACAGCTAGCAATTCGCGACTTGTGACACAATAGTTCCTTTCTGGTTTTGACAACGATTTGCTGAAGTACGCTATCACAACCTCTCGATCACCGTTCCGTTGAGACAACACACCGCCGAGTCCGGTATCACTTGCGTCTGTGTCAACTATAAATTCTTCGCTTGCATCATGGTATCCCAAAATAGGTGTTTTGCACAGACGGTCCTTGACCTCCCGGAATGCGATATTGCGACTTTCATCCCAGCAGAAATGTCGCTTCTCATCGGTTAGCTTATGCAGAGGTTTGGCTATATATGCGAAGTTCTTCACAAATCGCCGGTAATAGGAGCACAAACCCAAAAATGCTCTAATCTGCGTCTTGTCTTTTGGAACCGACCAATCCTTGACAGCGGCGATTTTCGGTCTGTGGATGATCCGTGCGGATACCTTCTTCCGATACTACATACCCCAAAAAGTTAACTTGCCGTTTAAATATTGAACATTTCTTCGGACTCAACTTGACGTTGGCACTCTGAATCTTCATGAGCACGCGTTCCAGGTTTTGAAGGTGTTCCTCAAACGTAAGGCCTACGATGATGATGTCATCCAAGTAGACCAGACAGGCATCGCCAATTAGCCCGGTAATTACAAGTTCCATCAGCCTTTCAAACGTTGGTGGAGCATTGCACAACCCAAACGGCATTACTTTAAATTGCCACAGATCCTTTCCCGTCGAGAACGCAGTTTTCTCCTTGTCCTTAGGGTCAATTTCAACTTGCCAGTAGCCATTTTTTAGATCCAGCGTGCTAAAGCACTTTACTCCTGTAAGCATATCCAGCGTGTCATCAATTCTTGGCAAGGGATAGCTGTCCTTCTTCGTAACGTCGTTCAGACGGCGGTAGTCAACACAAAACCGGATGCTGCCATCCTTCTTCTTTACCAGCACCACTGGTGAATACCATGGACTAGATGAAGGTTCAATAACACCATCCTTCACCACTCCTTCAATCATGGTTTCCACTTCCTTTTCACGTTCTACCGGCAAGCTTCTTGGCCGCTGACGGATAGGCAATTCTTCTCCTGTGTTTATTTTGTGTTGAACTAAGCCAGTCTTTCCTATGTCAGCATCGTTTGATGAGAATACATCGGCATACTTGAGTAACAACTTCTTCGCCTTGACCATTTCGTTCGGGGAGAGAACGCTGCGACAGTCTTCCAAAAGTGTGGTCACTCTCGTTTGTGCATCCTTGCTGGGGGTCTCACTCGATAGATATTGGCACCGACGTAACCAATCCACTTCCTCACAAGTACCAACCAGCGTGCCTTTTTCTCTGTTCCCGGTCACAAAGGTTCAGCACACGTACTCCTGAGACGTCAGTGGTTCTGACCAAGGTTCGAGCTACTTTCCATGGAAGGTCATTGTTTACCCTTTCCACAAGTACACAACGATGAACTTGCCCAACGTTTTGAGGAAGACTAACCGGAACAATCGTTTCCGATCTCGGTGGAAGAACAATCTTCTTAATACTGTACACATTCCCTGGTAACGCACCTTCCATAAAAAGTTCCTCCTGTCCACATTTCAAAACACCTTGCTTAACGTCGATCTCACAACAGTTATTCCTCATAAAGTCTAGGCCCAGGATGCAGTCGTCCATTATATCAGCCACGATGACATTATGCAGGTAGATCACGTTGTCTAGTTTCAACTCCATCTCCTTCTCTCCACGGACGGGTATACGCTGACCGATGGCTGTTAATAAATTAATGCGTTCTCGGTTGTATGCGGAGTCCCCAAGGAACTGACTTATAAGTTGGGAACTAACAACCGTACGAGAGGCTCCAGTGTCTATGGTCAGTTTACACGGCATTCCGTTGACCTCGCCCTTGATGATTAGACTGTTCCCATCATGGGTTTGTGAGATCGAGATCCTTGGGGCTCTTTTAACATCAGCCAGCACCCGCCCCGCAGTTCTGGCTTTTACTCGTTTCCCTGCTGCTGCTGGGCGGTGCTGATGGCCGCACTACCCTCCTGAGATCGTTCACCTTCCCTTTCTAGGGTTCGCTTAGGGCAGCTGGATCGAAGATGGCCCTTTTCCCCACAGCCATAGCACCTGGGGCTGAATCCTTTGTTGCGGTCGCGAACTTTAGCTGCTGCAACCTCCCTGACGCGATGAGAACGATGATCCTGCCGCACGGCTTCCACCTCCAGTGCATGGGCCAAGGCGTCCTTAAGCGTCTCGTGGTCCCCGAGCCTCACAGCAGCTCTGACTTCCAGTTCGCGGATGCCGTCGATGAATGTCTGCACCAGGTTCCCTTTAATGAGCGCAGGTACAGACCGGTATGCTTTTCGCACCAGCTTCTCGACCTCTAGAGCCCACTGCTGCAGGTTTTCGTTGATGCGCTGCACGCGATCTTTAAGCTGCGCACGAAAGACGTGTTCCAGGTGAGCGTCGCCATATCTCGCCTCCAATGCCTCAAGGAGTTCCTCATAAGTCACTTCCTCACCGAGAGTGAACTGTTAAGACCTGGTCGCGCAGGCCAAGTGTGAGAGCAGTCATGGCCTGACTTTTATTCCAGCCGTTCGCCTTCATAACAGCCTCGATCTGGATTTTGACCTTGAACCCACGTAGCGAAGGTGTAGTAGTTACTATGGGAGCTGTAGTTCCATCCCCAAGTTTGAGTTCGTCTAGTGATTTTTTCATGTCAGCCATTACGTTGTCAACCCGATTGTTCACTTGGTCGATTTGGGTTTTAGCTTCCTTGATTTGGGTTTCAGCTTCCGACAGGCGGTTGTCATGTTGAGCAACCCTATCCTTCACCTCCCTTATCTCTTTCCCAAAGGTAGTGTGAAGGTCCTTCATGAGGAGCATCTGCTCTTCCGACCGACAAGTCTGTTCCGGCTGCTGATCTTCCAACAGACGGGCCTGTTCCTCCTGTCTGCGCTGCAAGCAGAGCAGTCTTCCAGCCGACGGACCTGTTCCTCCTGTCGGCGGGCCTATTCCTCCTGTCCGCACTGCAGCTGCTCTTTCAACCGACGGGCCTGCTCCTGCAGCATCACCATCAGAGCACCTAAGTCAGGTGCTGCAGATGCAGCAGCTACTGAGGGACCGGCCTCCGTGGCCCTCCGACGTCTGCGGCGTTGCACAACCAAACCGTCTCTGGTCCATCTCCAGCTGGCGTTGACTTCGGGTACGGATACCTTCCGTTTCCTCCTTAGGTAAAATCGGCATGATTTTATCCCACTTCTGACACCAATTGTTACGAGCTTGAGGTTCGTAACAATAAAAATTGCCGATAGAATTACCAAAATTTACACTTTTATTACCGAACACCAATTAAAACTTAAAAGACACTAATTATTAACCACACTGATTCACTTTATTTCACTCCGAAGCTTCGCTTGTCTCGCCAAATTCAATACTGCCCCGATCGCAGCTTGCAGCGGCTTTAAATACACCTTTTACACCGAAACATCCAGAATATTCCAGTGAATACGGGCGCCGACCGACCAGATGCAGAAAGTTCGAGTGTGGGGCTTCTAGAAAGCTTAATTATTCTGTTCGATACTAGATGGCGCTGTTGGTCGAAAGTTCAAGATTTACATTTTCTAGGACGCCCTCCTCACTCTGGTCCCCGACACTAGATGGCGCTAGTGCCAGGTACCTGACGTCAACTTAGGTGCGCAACAGTTGGAATCGGTGTTCTTTCGCGGCGATTTGTGGTCAAATCTGATGTAATGGTTGGGGCCGTCTAGGATATGATCACAAACTGCAGACAACAATCAACACAGTCAGTTCATTTTGCATAGATCGGACCATAAACAATAATTAGAAAAGCTGAAGGTATTCTGGCTTTAACATTGACATGGGGATGTCAGTCATCTCAGTCCCCCGTGCCTAGACCTTTGACTAGAGAATTGAAAGGTAGACAGAGAAATCTACTGTCTACGCCCCCGTGACTATGGGTGCTGGAAATTACCCGAAACGTCGGGAATTAAAATCAAACGCGAGGGAATCTGTAAAAGTAGTTTTTAAAAAATTCAACAAAAAGGTTTTAACATTGTTGCTTGTCATGAAAATAAGTAAATTAAGGTTATTATTTATGACTTATTGTCATGAATAATAACTATATTTTACTATTGCAGCTTGGGAAGGTATTACTCTAACGGTTCAAACTTTAAGGTGATAATAGTTCAAAAAAACAGCCAAAATTGTTGTGGATCCTTATCAGGGCGCATGTGGCCTCTCAGTATATTTACGAAAATTTAATGTATGTACACAAAAACAAAAACGGTTTTATTAAAAATAGTGATGTACATTTTGTAAATATTAGGAATAAGCATAAGTTAGTACCAGTTACTCGATTCAAAAGAGTCAGTAATTCCTTCATTTGGCGATGTATATGCTTTCACAACAAAATACTGGAAAATATGCAGCCCTTATCTGGTGAGGTTAAAAGGTGTTTAGCATGGTTTATCATACTAATTCTAAAATAATATATTTTAAATTAATTTTATTTAAAAAAAGTCTCGCTGGATTTCTTGATGGTCCCAGGACACTGTTTTTTTCCAAACCAGTGGTAAATAATAATAATAATATAATATAATAATACTTTATTTTCAGACTTTGTCCATAAAGATGTTAGTAGAACAATAAGTACTTAAAAACTAATGTTAGTATTTAACTTTTTTTTTTTTTTTTTTTTTTTTTTTTTACACTTAACAAATTAAATATCCTTCTACGTTACAAATATCTTATTTATTCAATTTTATATGTAGGCTCAACCAGTGTTTCATAATGGCAGAATCCCACCTATCAGCAAGTGTATTCAGGATGCTGTTGGTAGAGGTACGTAGTCGATTCATTAATGAAGCGGACCTTTTACGTATTATGGCATGAAAGCCATCCGTGTGTGCCTCGACGAACATGGCAGAGGCACTACAATAACGCGGCAATCCTAACAGCACCCTGAACGCATTATTGTATTGTACACGCAGGACATTGTATGTCCGCTGCTTGTATCTGACCCACAAGTTGCCTGTGTAAAAGCACTGACAATAAGCTTTAAAAAGCGTAACTTTAACTTCTTTAGTACATCGTGCAAACCTGCGGGCCAGCATATTACAGCGAACAGCCAACGCCCTGCGTTCCCTTTCTATATCCAAGTCATCCTCTAAGTCCTCTGTTACCCAGTGGCCTAAGTACTTAAATTTGACGACTCTGTTCAAAGGACTATCACAGAGTTTAACAGTAGGCATGGTGAGCTGCCTTTTAGTGCCTGAATTAAAAATCATGAGCTCGCTCTTCGTTACATTATACTTGAGCCCATGGGTCTTTGCGTAGGATTCACAGATCCCTAGCAGCCTTCTGAGTGCACCTATCGTGGGGCTCAGCAGTACCATGTCATCTGCATAGCTTATGTTATTTATGCAAACTCCGTCTATAGAACAACCGACCTTAGTGCTGCTGAGCTCCACAATCAACTGGTTTATGTATAAGCTGAAAAGCGTAGGCGAACTCAACCCTCCTTGTCTCACCCCGCATTCCAGCCCATACCCCTCAGAAAAGCTGCTACCCCATCGCACATAGTTTATTTGGTTACTATACCAATATTTAAATACGGAGACAATTTCCTGGGGCAAGTCAGTCTCCTCCTGTAACTTTCGCCATAAAATGTCATAAGAGACTAGATCAAAAGCTTTTGATAGATCCAAAAAACAGGCATACACCGGCGTTTTCCTATCTGTGTAGTACCGAACAGTCTGCTTAAGACATAAAATTGCACTCTCTGTGGATAGTCCAGGTCTGAACCCAAATTGAGCATCATGCAGATGAATGTGTTTTCTCAATTTCCTGTCAAGCAGACCGTCCAGCACCTTAGCCACTATGGTGGCTAGTGAGATTGGCCTGTAATTATTTAAATCTGATATATCTCCTGTTCTGTTCTTAATGATAGGCACCACAATTGTCTTCATGAGATCAGTCGGAAGATATTGATGAGCTATACATAAACTTAGAAACATAGCCAACACTCTTGGCAGATGGGCACCAGCATGTACCAGATGTTCAATGCTAAGCCCATCATGCCCTGGTGACTTACCTCTAGTCATAGAATTAATTACTTCAAAAACTTCTTTGGCAGAGATCCTTACACACGATCTACCTGCAAAACGTCCACCATCGATTAAACTCGATGACGGACCCCGCGGTGACTCTACTTTAAAATGCTCTTTAAATAGATTGGCTATGTCTCCAGGCTGGTTGTGACCCTGAATATTAGCGGGAAGGCTCGACTTGGGATTCAGTTTATTCGTAAGATTCCAGAATTCTTTAAATTTCTTTTGCGAATGACTTGATGCGATCTTATCCATTCTTAATTGCTCTGCGTGATTTTGACACCATTTTAACTTTGACTTGAAATTCCGTCTTGTTTCACACATTTTATTATAATAATAACCCGAAGATGGCTTACCGTATAAGACCCACGTTTGAAAGGCAAGTCGAGCCTCCCCCGTGGGCGTCTCTAACGTATTTATTCCACCCCACAACATATTTCTTATTCCTTTTGTTATTACAACTTGCCTGAGCTGATTCTCTAAGAATAGTAACAATATTACCGTACATGTTATCTAAAATTAATTTGTGATTATCATTAATACATATATTATTACAACAATTCATAAACTCCTGTGGAAAATTTACGTCTTTTAATTTAGAGTGACACAATTTTTTATAAGTTTCTATTTGATTATTATTTCTGACACCCCAAATTATTTTATTATTACAGAAATAGCTTACCATATTTTTTGATCTCAATAAGTTAATATTGCACTCGATCAGCAATGGAACATGATCCGACCAGTAGGTATCATACAGCACAGTGACATCTATGACTGAGCGCCTTGCGGCCTCAGTTACAACGCAATGATCCAACCAGCGCCGACAACCGTGCGCATCACTAGTGTAAGTATAGCTGCCCGCTGGGAGGACCTCCAAATCAACACAAATCAACTGCTGATCCGTGCAAAAATTTATCATTTCGTTACAAAATAATGTACCGGGATGAGAATTAAAGTCACCTAACGCAAATACAGAGTCGACATTTTCATTTTCAATAATAGCACTTATCTCGCTCATGCACGATGTAAATTCTATTAAATTGTCTACTGAATCCGTTGGCATATAAACCGAGAATATTATGTAAGTTCGTTCACTATGGAACACTTTAATTGCTGTGAGACGCACACTACTACATTCGACCACACTGACACAATCAAACGCATTTTTCCTCCACAAGAGGGCCACACCACCATAGGGTCTGCCTGTGAGTATACCGGACGACGTATCAACCGCTGACTTACCGGTATAGCTGAAGTCTTGATGTATCTCGCCCAGAAACGTTATGTCATCAGGTCGAAGCCATGTCTCCTGTAGCGCTAGCACGTCAGACTTTTCACACAGGTGTCTTACGCATTCCAAAGAGCGTTTAACAGATTTGCAGTTAAAAGTAGTAAATTTTGCCGTACTATACATGAACGATTTTTTTTTTTTTTTTTTTTTTACACATTATCTGAGGTCTCCTGATGTCTGTACTTAAAATGCACAAATCTTCTGAATGAGATGCCGTCCGGCCAAAGACTGTCATTTAAAAAGACAGCAAGTTTTTGTTTGGACACGTATAATTTGAACGCATTATATCCTTTATCTTTTTTCATAGTCACTTTTTCTAGTGTCACTAACTCGTTAGTTTTATTCCTAATATAATCAACGATATCTTTTTCTAGCGTCTCTCTATGTACGTTAGATATAAATAGCGGAATTTTCAAGTCCGCTGATTTAAATTTCTCCTCAGGTTTTATTTCTGCTTTTCCTGTCTTACCTATAAAACGGTTACGCAATCTGCGCTTTTGAACTTTTATCCAGGCCTCTGGCGGTTCTTCATTTTTCCAAGCTTCACCTTTTTTCAATATTTCGGCCATAGTTAGCGAAGACTGAAAATTACCATCACAAGATGTATCTTTTATTGCGTTATTATTGTTAGAGAACTTATTCACTACAATTGTTTTGTCATCATTCATCCTGCTTTTACTCGGTGAGTTCTGCATTGGAATTGGAGTTGTTTTAGCGCCTCCTGCGCTGAATGATTGCCGCCCATCCGCACCGTTATAAGCAGTCACGCCTCCAGATGTAAAGAGGTCAGCCTTATGCATATCTGACACAGGTGCGAGTGCATCGACACTATCACGAGCACGACTAGCTACTTGTGCGATAGCTATCTTTTCCGTCTCTGTCTGTACGTCAGTTGTTTGTAACGGTACATCAGCTGTTGATAACTCGTGCGACAAGCCCATCGGCCCACTGTCGCCGAACGTAGTACCCACATCCAACAAGAAGGCACTGCACCTTCTACCTACCTTATGATGATGAGCTGGTGATGTGGATGTTTTTAAGAAAGATTTATCTTTCTTTAGCTCTTCTAGGTGCGTCTTGGTTACATAATTATCCTTGATGATCTTAACCTCCTGTTGCAACAGAACTATATCCTTCAGCAGTCGAGTTACATCTACATGATCGAAAGTGACCGGCGGAAGTTTTTGTAGGTCACGAGCAACAAAAATGGGTGCACTATCAGGGTCTGTTTCTTTGAAAAGACTAATGATGTCTTCTAACTCCCTTTGGGATTTCCCATCTGTACGCCGAGTTAATTTTCCATCTCTACGTCTTATATTTTTTCTTTTACCTGAGGGCAATGACTCGAAAAGCAAACTTTTTGCATTAGTAATATCTTCAGCTGTAAAGGCACTACTACAAATTCGGACAATGCTCTCCTCGTCCATCACATCTGCCTTGTTTTGTATAAAGGCAAGCACTTCGCTTATCACAATATTACAATTTGTACATTTTACCACTTTGGACGCCATTGTCTTATCGTACAATGACCTTTCGCTTACGCTCAAAGCGAACACATGTACGCGCTTTGCCGTTCCGCGTGCGACTGAACTTAAATGACTTTCAATTAGTATTCATGCAATAAAAAAAATATTCTAATCATAAGGTTTCCCTATTAATGATAAAAAGAATCTAGCTCATCATTCATCATCATCATCATCGTTACAGCCCTTCACAAGTCCACTGCTGAACATAGGCTTCCCCCAAGTAATGCCACAAAGCACAGCCCTGAGCCACCTGCATCCATCAACTTCCTGCATGTCTTACCAGGTCGTCACTCCATCTAGTGGGGGGTCACCCTACATTACACCTACCGGTACGAGGCTGCCACTCCAGGACCTTTCTTCCCCATCGGTTATCGGTTCTTCGAGCTATATGGCCGGCCCATTGCCACTTCACCTTACTAATCCGTGGGGCTATGTCGGTCACTCTGGTTTTACTGCGGATATGCTCATTTCTGAGTCTATCACGCAGAGAAACTCCGAACATAGCGCTCTCCATAGCTCGCTGAGCGTCCTTGAACGTCCACATACGGCCAGCAGTGAAGAACCACGTCTCAGATCCGTAAGTCATCACTGGCAACACGCACTGGTTGTACAATCTAGTTTTCAGAGATTGAGGTATACCTGACGAGAAGATGTGTCGTAATTTCCCGAATGCTGCCCAGCCGAGTTGAATCCGTCGATTGACCTCTCGGTTGAAGTTGGACTTACCTAGTCGGACTATTTGTCCCAGGTAAAGGTACTCGGGGATATAACGATTCTGCCATAAGGACTATATCGTCGGCAAATCGAAGGTGAGTGATGTACTCGCCATTGATATTAATACCGTATCCTTGCCAGTCCAGTGGCTTGAAAACGTCCTCCAATGCAGCGGTGAAGAGTTTCGGGGATATAACGTCACCCTGTCTTACACCTCTCTGCAGTTGGGATAGGTTTCGAACTCTGGTTCTGTACTCGGATAGCCATCATAGCCCTACTGTACATACACTTCAGCACTTCGATATACCGACAGTCAACTTGGCACCACTGAAGGGACTGTAGCTGCGCCCAAATTTCGACGGAATCGAAGGCTTTCTCATAGTCCACATACGACAAGCAAAGTGGCAGATTGTACTATTCGGTCTTCTGTACAATCTGCCGCAGGGTATGTATGTGTTCTATGGTACTGAAGTCTTTTCAGAAACCGGCTTGTTCGGGAGGCTGGAAGTCGTCGAGTCGATTCGTAATGACTATCGAAAACAGCACGTAGACGCGGCTCAGAAGGGAAATCGGTCTGTAGTTCTTCAAGAGAGCGTTGTCGCCTTTCTTATAGAACAAGACCACCGCACTTTTGCTCCACGCCTCGGGAGTAGTGCCATCATGGAGGACGGAATTGAAGAGCTTCTAAAGGACTGCAAGTACCGGTGTTCCACCCGCTTTCAGAAGCTTCGCTGTAATTCCATCCTCGTCTGGGGCCCTGCCGTTTTTAAGGTGCTGGAGAGCCATTCTAATCTCGCTCAGACTGACGTCCGGGATGCCGGAATGCCGAATGCCGCTTTTTTTTCCCTCATGAAGGCGGGGGAGGGAGGTGGTGAATGCTCATTTCTTACCACTTCGCCCGCTGTGTGGTTATGTGGAGACTTTTACCCACTAAACACCACCTTGAGGGACTGGCTTTGATCTGGCGAGAGTCGTCGTACGTCGATGTTCCGGATAGCAGACGATACTGTATCCACGTCATCGGCATATGAGAATTTCTCCTGGTAACGGAGCCCTGGTGGGCGAAGCTGAGGAGGTCCCACCGACGTCATTCCGTGATAAGTTTGTTTTGCATGTAGTAGCTAGCTAGACCGTCAACGCTAGCTCAAAATAGCATATTTGGTATAGCTATAAGGTCCACTTTATGACTATCCTATTTTAATTATTAAGTACTCTGATCACGTATTGATCGCCGATGTAATTTTCTTTCCTGTTTTTCAATTTCTGATACGAAAATGTAGTTGCAGTCAATGATTTACGCTAGTAATATATAAGTCAATGGTTGCAGTAGGCTCGAAACATCTTTTTGTATTAAAATGGTTTGAAGATAAACTTAAACCCACGTCCATGAACGAGGATAAAATTGTCCCTTTCAAATGTCAAAAAAGGATAATTTTTTCTCTTTCCTTTGACCCCATGCTACGGACGGGGAGATATATGTCTACTCGTTATGACAAACGGGAATATACTAGGTATAGAGATAAGATATTTTTTTATTTTTTTCAAATTTATTTAGGACAACCAACAAGACGTACACGAACACAATGTAAATACTAAAAACTACAAGAAGGCTTATATCTAAGTGTCGTCTTGATTAAAGGTTGCCACGGCATGCAATGTGGACGACGAAACGAATTTTATCTCTTGTCAGTGAATATAATCGGGGGATATAATTTTTGTCTCCTGCCCATGCTCGCAGGGTGGATAAAACTGAGCAAGGGATAAAAATTTTATACTCTCCCCGTGGATATATTGTCTACTGCCCATGCTAGCCAGGCTGCACTATATTGCCGACTCTTCTGTTTTGCTTCCGACATAGCTTTGTTTCTACAAGTAGGGGAAGGTCGAGTAAAGTGGCCACCCTAAAGCTTGAATGCCTATTAGATAAATACGAAAAAAAAATTACGTTACTTTGTTAATATATTCTCTCAAATTAATGTAGTTTTGACATCACAATTATACATCATATTTTGACTTATATTTTAAAGTATTTTTAAGTTTAAAACCGAAATGGGAAATTGACCACTTTACCTACCCAGGTTGAGTAAAGTAACCTACATGAACCCACAAAAGCGAATAAAGTTGCATATTCTCAATAAAATGCAATTAGTCTTAGATTAATTTAAGTTTTATTTAAATTTGACTCAGGAAATAATCGAAAGCGACTAAGGGACTAAAAGTTCATTCATTATTGATTATTTTTGATTGTTCATAAATCACACACAAATATTTTTAATAACAAAATTTCCCTTTCCTCTTTTCTTATAGCTCATAAAGCTTTTCCCATCACAATCGGGTCCCATGTCTGCCGCAGCGATGTCCGTTTATATGTATTTGGTTATATTTTCAAGAAAAATTAGCTTTAAAGTGGCCTAGTAGGCCACTTTACCCGAAACGGCACGCGGCGGGAAAAAACGACCCAAATGTCAAATGAGTTTATATTGTCCCTCGTACTGAGCAAGTTAAGACTATTATCGATGAACCAGCCGATTACTACCCGATTGTACCAATAGCGTTATTTAACAAAACTTGTTACAACCAAGATACAACTCGATTGCGTACGGTGTACGGGCTATCCTACGAAATCTATGTTAAGTACCTATTTCTAGTTTATATACCATCATACAGGGCAGAAATATAAACTAATTATTCGATGATGATTTTTATACCACTTTACCTATCAAATTTGGTGGTATTGGAGTAAGAAACATTACTAGCGTCGCATTGCCTGCTTTCCTTGCTTCCGTACATAGTGTCAATGATTTATGTAACACAATTTAAAAAAATAAAGTAGACCTGTGTTTTGCTGCGGAGGCAAGGCAAACATGGCTAATGCTCTGTCCCGGCGAAAATGTCCCACTGGAAGTTAACCAACAAAAACAGTTGCATATTCCGTTGGTACGGAGTGTCCATAAAAATTTATTTCAAAATATACACGAATAACAAGATTAAGCTCGTCTTCTAGCTGTTTCGACTAAGGAATCTAGTCACTGGTTACACGCTCTACGATCAAGTAATCTAGGCACATTGCTTGATGGGGAGAGCATGCGCAACGCCGTGGGAATCCGGCTTGGAGCGGCAATTTGTTAACCTCACCAGTACCCCTGTGGTAGCAGCGTCGATAAGTTTGGGCTCCACGGACTTTCATGCAAGAAAAGTGCAGGTAGGTTTTCCCGTCACGGTTCTTTAAACGAAGTCATCCGAAGGGCTCTTGTCTCCATAAATATCCCCTCGGTTTTAGAGCCTTGCGGGATATTTAGATACGATGGCAAGAGACCCGAGTCCCTTGGGAGAGAGGTAAAGCCCTAGTGTGGGATGCTACTTGCGTTGACACTTTGGCGGCCTCTCATCTCAAAGGTACCTCTTTTAGATCCGGGGCGGCATCAGAGGCAGCTGAATTTAGTAAATGGCGCAAATATGAGTCTTTGAGAAATGACTACATATTTGTGCCATTTGCTGTAGGGACTATCGGTCCGTGGGGTCCACGTGCAGTGAAGTTCCTAAAGGAACTGTATCCACGACTGGTCGTCGCGGCTGGTGATAAGAGAGCTGGTTGTTTCCTCGCTCAAAGGCTTAGTATAGTTATTCAGCGAGGAAACGCAGCCAGCGTTCTTGGCAATATAGTACCACGGGGAGCAGGACTTTTTGACAATTTAAATTTTTAGTGTTAGTTTTTCTATATTATAGTTTTTTATATTGTGTATAATTAGTATTAATTGTAAATATTATAATTTTAATTATTATTTTTATTTAATGTTACGTACATAATAATTGCTGTAATTTACTTTAATAAAATGTTGTAGAATATATGTAGTAGGTAGGTTTTAATTTTGGTAAATTTTAAAATATAAAGTATCTTAATGAAATTAAAAATCAACCATTGCATTCTGGTCTCTCGCCAAGGCTGTCCAAGTGAATTTCTGTCAGCCATCTCTTCCATCTCTGGATAGAGAGGACGACTCACTGGCCCTTGCCGCAAAGGAGATAGCTGATCTGCTAAGATGGGATCTGATGGGCTCCTTTGCGTCCAACTCGACTCTCGATGACGGCGGGAGCATACCGCGGTGTGAGTGCTCCACGCCAGATGTGCGGTTCACATAGTGCTCGGTTCGCATAGCACTCCTCTCCCTAGACATCAACAAGTCGAGTGGTCTAGACGGATTCACCCCAATTGTGCTCCAGAGTTGGCACCGGTTCTAACGCGTGTTTTCCAGGACTCCTACTCCCTAGGCGTTGTTCCGAAATCGTGGAAGACGGCTTTCGTGCACCCGATCCCTAAAAAAGGCAACCACTGAGATCCGTCTCAATACAGGCTTATCGACATCACCTTCTTGTTCTCCAAAATAATGGAATCCAATAAAAACTACTAGCTCATGCGGTACCTTGAGGATCACTAACTGATTAGTGACAGCCAATATGATTTTCGTCAGGGTCGATCAGCTGGTGATCTTCTGGTCCAACCGACTTATAGATGGGCGGAGGCAGTAGAGTCCAAGGGGAAGGCATTAGCCGTTAGTTTGGACATTGCGGCCTTCGGTTGGGTTTGGCACCAAGCGTTCCTTTCGAAGCTCCCTTCCTTTCAGAGAAATTTTGCAATTCGGAGAATCAAGGTCGTTGCAGACGGTGCCTGCTTCGATTCAAGTTACAATTATTTTGAACAATAATTATTAAAGCTTAATGTCAATAAATTCTTCAAAGTCATACACTTTAAGTTCAATTAGCCACTTATAGAGTCTCGATTTGAATAAATTCATTTTGAGGTTTTCTTGGGGATGTCATTGGGGATCTTATTATACACCTTAACACACATTGCTAAACAACTTTTTCTGAATTTAGCAGATCTTGGAATGACGCTTAATACTAATCGCTCCGGATTTCTTTTCCATCGAGAGTTTATATCTCTGGCTTTCTGAAAGAGCTCAGTATGGCGTTTTACAAAACAACTCATTTCAAAGATGTACAGTGCTGGCAAAGGAAGTAAGCCCAGGCTCCAAAACGCTGCTCTACAGGACTCGCCCGGTGGAATCCCACATATGGCTCTGATGCATTTTTTTGCGCTATAAATACCCTTTGTCTCTCAGTACTATTGCCCCATATCATCACACCATAACGTAGAATGGAGGCTACATACGCGTGGTAAGTGGTAATGGCTGTTTGCAAGTTAGTTACGCTCCTTGTTTTATAAAGAGCATAAACAAAGCTGTTAATACGCTTACATAAGGCCTCAATGTGTAATTTCCAGTTAATATCTTGGTCTATCGTTATACCTAAGAACTTAGTATGTGTAATTTCTTTAATCTTTTCAATATCAATGTTAAAATTGTATTTATCATATTTGGATTTATTAAATTGAATGAAATTTGATTTATCTAAATTTAATTTTAGATTATTTTTCTCTAGCCATTTAATAATGTTGTCAATAGTATTATTAATCTCAATTTCGTGGTCATGCATTGAATTGTATTTATTTTTTTCTGATATCACAATTATTGATATGTCATCGGCAAACAAGATACATTTATGACCAGTAACTTTGGCTATGTCATTTATGTACAATATAAACATAAGTGGACCTAGGACACTTCCCTGAGGGATACCACATGAGTTATTTTTTAGGGTAGAAGAACATGTCACCAGTTCGCTATTTATGATTTTGTTAACAGTGACGCGCTGACACCGATTCTTCAAGTAGGGTGATAGCCACTGTAGTGTAGGTCCTCTTATACCAATCGTTTCAAGTTTATTTAATAAGAGGTCGTGGTCTACAAAATCAAACGCCTTGGACAAGTCAAAAAATAGACCTGTCGTTAGATAACCTTCATTCAATTTTGTGAGTATTGTTTGTACAAGAGTAAATGTTGCTAAAGTTGTCGACTTTTCTTTTTGGAAACCGAATTGATCGTTACTAATGATGTTGCAATAATTGAGTATCCTCAGGTGCATACATTTCTCAAACACCTTCGATAGAATAGGTATAAGAGTAATTGGGCGATAATTGTTGACGTCATTTTTTTACCCTTTTTGTACAATGGTTTGGCGACTGATTGTTTTAATGCTTCCGGAAACGTACCAGATGAAAATGATAGATTAATTAAATACGTCAATATATGCACTAGTTCATTAATACACATTTTAATTATTCTGGTACTGATTCCATCAAAGCCTTCTGAGTTGGTGTTGTTCAAACCCATAATTTCTTTTTTTACTTCTTCTTTTGAAGTCGGAAGAAGAAACATCGTGTTTGGTATAAGTTTGATTTTAGCACTTGGTTTTTGTATATTATTTGTCGTCAGGTTTTTTGTATTTGTCAATTCAATAAAATGTTCACTAAAAGCTGAGGCTATGTCAAAAGGATGTGTCAATTGTTTTCTGTTTAAACTTATTTCACTTTGTCACATTTTAAACCACCAATTTCTTTTTTTACATTCTCGTTTTTGTTTTTACTTTTATATTTTTGTGTATAATGTGCATTATATATTTTATGTGCAAATTTCTTTTGGGGTTAATATTTTTAATACTTTCGAGTAATTTATATATTTGATTATATTGATTGCTGTTTTATTTTTATAATATTTATACCTTAGTGACCGTTTAGTTTTACAGCTTGTTCTTAGGCCTTTGCTAATCCAATTTTGTGTGTTCCTATGTGTGTTGTTAACTTTAATTTTAATTAAAGGAAAACACAGATTATAAAAAATGCACAGTAGTTCATGAAACTTGTTGAAGGCAGAGTTTAGACTCATATCTGCGTATACCTCAGACCAAGTTATGCTTTTTAGGCACTCCCTGAATTTGAAAATATTTTCGCAACTGTAGTCCTTTCTAAGTACTGTGTATGTTTTTGGTTTTTCATTTTTTCTTTGCACAGGGAAACACAATAATTGAGCTGTATCGTGGTCGGATAAGTATAAAGGTAGTACCGTAGTAGTAGCGTTAGCGTCTATAATGTTACTTAGCATGTGGTCTATGCATGAGTTTTTGCGTGTTAGTACCTTAATATGTATTTTTAGGTTATGATTTAGACATATATCTTGGAGGTAATTTGATATTTTTCCTTTTTTCAGCGTATCGATGTTAAAATCGCCCGTCACAACAACTTTTGTATCAGACTTACGGTTTCTTAATAATTCATGCAATAGTAGGTCTAATTTGTTTAAAAAAATATTTGGATCAGATGTAGGTGTTCTATAAACGCATACAACCACCAATTTATGTAGAGGCATCTCTATGCCACAGACTTCAAAGCTCTTTTGTGTTGCGTACTTTTTTAATTTTGACATTTCTTTGTAGGTACTATTTTGTTTGGCTAAGATACAGGTTCCTCCCCTCAGTTTATCCCGACAAAACGCTGTTGCTAACTCATAATTATGAATATTTAGGTACTTCTCGCTACCAGATTGCAGAAAATTATATTTTATTTCAGACAGTGTAACATATTAGATCTGGTTCATTCTTCATCTTGTTCAGTTCTTGTAATGTTATTTCTAGTAATTCCTGCTTTGCCATGACACTTGCAATGTTTTGGTGCAAAATTTTAAAAGTTTTATTACTGTGAGTCACAAAAAAATGGCTTATCTATGTTTTTAAAATAACGCAGTAGGGTACTTTGAGTTAAACGCATTGGCCTATTGGCATTAGATCCACTAATAGAGGTATTAGCCCCCGATTGAGTCCTGGAAAAATAGTATGGGATTGTTCCCTTTGTATAATTGGCGTTATATGCGGACGATAGCGCCTACTTCACCTCGTCCAGAAGAGCCCACATTGCCAATGCCAGGATGCAACGTCTGCTGGACCTGTTGCCACCACGGGTAGATGAGTGGAGGATGGTTGTCAACGTTGGTAAGACGACCGCTCTGCTCACTCGCCGTCTCAGGAACCTACCACCTCGGCTAACCCTCAATGGCCAGAAGATCGCGTACAAGAAGGCCGTGACCTCCATTGTCAACCCGTGACGCACACCGCAGCGTTGCAATGAGAACGACACCACACAGTGCGGAGCACGCGCTCCCCACTTCACCGCGCTTGCCCTTCGCCGCTGACGCATACTGCGACGGAACAAGAGACCATTCTAGACATTTTTCATACGATTGAGTCCGGCACCGCATGCCGCATAGCGCAGCGTTGTGCGTTACGATCAAGAGACCAAAGCTTTAGTGGGCGGCGCGCGGTTATTTCCCTTACACAGAGTTCGGGATGAAACGATACGAGTAAATACAAGTACTTACTTGATACTTTTCTTTCGAAACCAAGTACTTTGGTAGCGACTCCACCGAGTCAGTAATTCATTCTTGGGGCGCTTTTACAACAAAATCCCATAAAATATACAAAATTTGTCATAAGCAAAGTTCAAAAATTTGATTAAATTAAGTTTGTATAAAAAGGGTTATTATAATATTAAGGAATTTATGGATGATAACCACTGGGAAGGGCGATCGCTACCAAGCTATTTCTAATTTGTCTTGTATTGTTAATTGTAAGCTATTATTTGAAGAAAAAAAAATATAGTCCCGCTGGGTTTTTTGCTGGTTCTTCCCAGGAAAGAGGTTTTTTTGCGAACCAGTGGTAAATGAAAAAAATGACTTTCAATTAGTATTGTTTATAATCTACATTGAATAAAAAAGTTTTTGTTTCTGTTTCCGATACTTCAAAACTGAGTACCAAGTAGTATCGAAAGAAAAGTACTTGTATCGATACTTGATCAGTCACGCAGACCCACGGACACTGTTGATGAGTGATTATTGATTACTTGTCAAATAACTCATGTTCGAGAGATTGTTTTCGTCATCTGGCGCGAAAATGACTGCTTATAAAAATCGTCTTATTGGAAAATATCTAGAAAAATTATTAATTTTAGGAAATAAGTACACATAAAAAAATTCATTCAAAACATGTTTCTGAAGAAAAAAAGAAGTCGCTGATGCATCAACCAGTTATCAACACAATGATCCTATGAATCTGACTGCAGCAGAGTTTGATCATTAATTAAGCGTACCAATGGCCGCAAGACATGCAAATCCATATAAATGATGGGTTTCTAATAAAGGCTATTACCTCATCTTGGAAAAAGTTGCGGCTCAATACTTATCAACACTCGCCAGTTCAGTTTACAGTGAACGACTTTTTTGAGAGGTGGGCTATAAACTACGAAATACGGGCAAAAAAACTTGTATTTTTGCATCACAATCTTCCTCTCTTAAATTTTACATATTAGTTAGTTTAATATCTAGTATAGATTCTTTTGTACGTTCTCAATATTTCTGCTGTTTCTCATGTTCATGATGTTTTAATGTGTCTAATATAATAATAATGCTAAAAATGGCTTTTTGTCTGTAATATGATTAAGGCCGAGTACTCGGCCGTTAATACTCGGTGTTTGGCCGAACCCTAAAAAAGGGCCGAATCCAAACCGAGTACTCGTCCCATTCATATTATTATTTTATTATAATTATTAGTTTTTAATGTTTGCGAAAAGAATATTTGAAATGAAATATAATATCACTTGGTTAAGAAAACAATTTACTTAATCGTTCGAATATTATGGTCCTATTTTTTTTAATATTTTTAGGCATATAAAGTAATAACAATTAATAACTAAACAAAAACGAGTATATCGATGTCGATTGTTGCTAACATTGCAAACGAAATCACTATAGATTACAGACGTAACGTCTTGAAAAATAACGTCATAATACTGCTGCAATTGGGATGTCATTTTTCTAGTAAATCAGAACATACGAGTGTACTTACTCTCATATTTGGCATAGTTTAAAGAGACCAAAGATTATCACTTGACGTACCGTCAACTAAGGCATCTTTACCTTCCCTTGTCATTTTTATCAGAAACTACTAATGGTAGATATTTCATAGACACATTGTCGCAGCAGATTCTGGTCGAAATTTTAACTGTGCTTGTGAATTCACTTAGCTGAGGTAAGTAGAATAGATACGTATTATATATAACCTTCCTAAGAAGACGTAGAAACTGTTATAATGGTAATTTCTTAACAATTTTAAGAGAAATTTGTATAGGTAATATTAGTTGAGGCTAGGTAAAGTTGCCACAGTTTGTACAGTGGCGTCTTTACCTGTAGCTAGGGTTGTCACTATACTTTACCGGTCTCTATACGTAAATCTTTTACTTTTAGGAGGGCTTACAAGCTGATTAAAACTTACATAACAATATTAATACACTTATTCTAATAATAATAAAAATGCAATTGTCTATACTTATCATTTCCATTTATATATTTATACAGACATTTATATATTAACCCTTAAATGCATATTGTTGCCAATTGTCTACATTTATTTTCACGTTATTTTATTCAAAAACCTCGAGTCCCTGCGTTTCCGAACGCTCGTAAATAACCATAGGCAATAAATCATTATTGAAAGAAAAAAGTTGACATTACATTTGGCGGGTAAGTTACTCGTTTTTTGACATTTGAATGTGGTGGGTGATGAAGTTCAGTGTGTTACTAGAAGACATAGTTTCTACTGTCAAGTTCCTAATAAAAAAGTGATTCTTATTCTAAAAAAATTACTTCTAATTTGTTATCAGGTAAGCTATCAATGTTTGATGTTGTATTTGAAAGTTATATTAGATACAAGACAGATTTTTGGAAATTACTGTATGTTGCCAAATGTCTACATTATGCGTTTGTTTCATAAATAATTATAAGCAAGTGTTTTTGGTGTCTGGGTCTTTTAACATAGTTTGCTTTGCTTTATAGGATGTCTAGACGGCTAAAAGATGACGATATTGAGGATTTACTTGCACAAATAGAAAATGGAGACATTTCTGAAGATGAAGAGGATATGGGTGATATGAACAAAATTGATTATCACCCGGACCTACGAGATCTAATAAGCGAATTAGAGGACAATAATGATGACGATGAAGAATACAATGAAAATCCACCTTCGAACATGGAAGAAGGACGGTTATCACTTCAATAGTCCAGCTCCAGGACCTTCGAATTGTCAACCACATTCAAGCCTTCTTGGTGTTGCAGCGTGGAGACAACAAACTAGAGAACTTATATGGAAAAATCATAATTTGCAATACAGTGAAGAACATATACGTTTCACAGGAAATACAGACCTTTCCCCTCCACTAGCCGGCTTGAAACACCATTCCAATTTTTCTCCGAATTTATGAATGAGGATATACTCACTGTTATTGTGGAACAAACAAATTTATACATCACGCAAAAAAATGTATCCAACTGTCCTCCTGTAACTGCTACTGAAATCCGTCAATTTCTAGGTATCATCATATTTATGTCCGTGTACCATTACCCAAATCAAAGATCAGTAATACATTTCAATGATAATGCACAGCACAAACCGATTGGACACTCAAACCATAATCGTCTTCATAAAATAATACCTGTTGTAGTACACTTGAACAAATTGTTCGTGAGTGTGGCACCATTTGACCAAAGGCTCTCTCTAGATGAGCAAATGTGTTCGAATAAGGTAGCTCATTTTATGAAGCAATATTTACCCAACAAACCTCATAAATGGGGGTTTAAGTTGTTTGTTTTGTGTTCACTCTCTGGATATGCTTATAGTTTTGAAATATATTCTGGTAAACAAAATGTTTACAACTTATCTGATGAACCTGATATTGGTGTAGTCGGTAATACAGTGATTAGATTGTGCCGTTCAATTCCACGAAAAATGAGCCATATCCTATATTTCGACAATTTCTATACATCCTTTCCTTTACTGTATTACCTATGGACTCAAGGAATATATGCATTGGGTACTATTCAACGTAACCGCCTCGGAAAGAATTGCAAATTGCCAGGTGTAAAAGATTTTATGAAAGATTCTATAGTACGAGGAACATATGAGGAACAAGTAGCTGATTATGAAGGCCTTGATATCTCGGTAACATGCTGGAAAGATAATAAGGTTGTCACATTAGCGTCAACTTATGTAGGCTCCGAACCAGCCGAAACTGTGAATAGATACGATAAGAAACAAAAGAAACAAATTTCCATAGCTTGTCCAAAAATAGTCAAAGATTATAACGTCCATATAGGTGGAGTTGACCACATGGATAGTTTTTTGGGTAGGTATAAAATCAGAATAAAAAGTCGCAAGTGTTATATTAGATTTTTTATCACATGGTTGATATGGCAGTGATCAATTCTTGGATACTGTATAAGAAAAAATACCCTAATCTTACCTTAGGAGATTACAGATCTGAACTTGCAGAGACTTTATGCTCCTATAAAAAGTACGATACAAATAAAAGAGGAAGACCCTCAAGCAATAATGTAGAAAGGCAGATCGAAGCTAAAAAACACCGAGGTCCCGCTAAACCTGTCCCGCCAAAAGATATCCGGACTGATGGTATAGGCCAAGATGAAAAAAGGTGCAGCGCTAAAAATAGATGAAAACTTCCAGGTTGTAAAGGATTTTCACGGACTGAGTGTGTCAAATGCAAGGTTGCTTTATGTCATAACAAAAATCGCAATTGCTTTGCTGTATTTCATTCATAAATAATAAGGAAATTCCTATACTAATGAAGAAAATTATAATATGACTATTTGCTTACGTCTACAGTAATTTTATCAATAAACGCATATTGTTGCCAAAAGTCTACATAGTATTTTCTCAAAATAAATATTCTATATTATTAGCTGGATTTTTTTAATTTTTTTTCTAATTTCCTATCATATACTATTTTTTTAGTTCAAACAAATAATCATGCATTTAAGGGTTAAAAAAATTGAAAAAAGATGTCAAAAGGAAGAGTATAAGAACCAAAAACCTCCAAGATAATTCTTCGGATTCGGACTCTGACTGCTGAAGACATGCAGGATTACTTATTGAGACAACTGATAGTAGATCAGAAAAAGGATGAAAAGGAAAAAGGTGAACAAACAGCCTATTTGGAAATGCAAGGACATGAGACAGAAAGATTGAGAACGGAAAGTGATGTATGGATAGAAAACGAGATGTTAAATGACAAGGAGAAAGAAGAATTTGGAAAACAGGAAATACAGGAACAAATGAAAGAATTGGAAAAAAAGAGTATGAGATAAAAACTTGAGAATAGAAGGTGATAATAGGCGAGTACAAGAGATGGTATATGAATATGACTTGGAGAAAATCGAATGTGAAATACAGGACACAGAGGAACAAATGAAGGAATTGGAAACAAAAGGACACAGGGAAGAAAACTTAAGGATAGAAAGTGATGAAAGGAACGGACAGAATGTGGAAAAACAGATGGTAAATGAATATGAAATGAAGAGAGGCTTATGGGAAGACTAGGAAACAGTGAAACAAATAAAAAAAACTGGAAAAACAAGAACACAGAATAGAGAAGCAGGAAATAAAACAACAGATAGAGAGCCTAATAATAGAAAACGATGAAAAAAGGACAGAAGATAAAACGACCTAGACTAGAAGAGACTATGTCAGAAGAAGAGACCAAAAATGAACAAAATGAGAAGGCAAATAAAGCCGAAAGTTTATATATGGAAGGACAATACATCTTGGTAAAGTTTAAAAGTACCAATAATACGTATAAGTATTACTGCAGCCTGATTACGAAAATATCCGAATGTGAAGGAGTTTTCGCGAAATTCATGAGACATAAAAAAGGTGGGTTTTACTGGTTCACAGTACCCGATACAGTATTGTATTTGAAAATGATATACTTAGTGCAAATTTTACCCAACCCCTATAAAAACCGGCGTGGAATTTTATATTTTGATGTCAAATTTAAATATAAATTGGAATAATACTTTTAGTTTTATTTTCAATACACTCTGGCTGAAACTATGATAGTATAAGTATTTTAAATATGTGACAACTAGTACTTTAAATATATTATATACTTTACAATTTTTACAAGTTTATTGCATGGTATTTACAGAACACTCCATGCGACTATCTGACTTGCATTTAATCAATGTTTTTATAGCCGTACATTTTAACTTCATTTTTAAACAAGTGGCAGCCCTGATAATAAATTACTTTTGTATGAGAATTTCAATGGAGTCCATGCCATGTTTACCTATCAGCCTGTATTGCTCATATATATTTTTTATTTAAAGTACCAATATGTCTAAACAGAGAGTGTAAAGCGAAAGGGTATCTTACCAATTTCAGTTATAAAGGCTTCATTTTATCGAGATATACGGTATAGGTAAAGTAGCCATTTTTGCGGCATCTTTACCTGTGTTATGTTTTTGGTGCTGCTTTAGTAGTTTTGCAGCTATGAGGAGCAGTGCATTTATAAAGCAATGTAGAAGTACTATATTCATCGATTAAAAAGAATAGCTTATTTATAAGTGTTTTATTTTTCCGTTTATTAAGTTTTTTCTTCAAAATATGGTAAAGATGCCGTGGTTGACGGTATCTATTTCCACGCATGAATTACACGCAACATCGATCAATACATTTGTCTCTTTTTGCCTTATTTGAAAATTAAATTAGAAAAAGCGAGACAAGTATACTGACTCAATTTATGCAGAATTGTAGGTTCCCTCTATGCATACGTATGTATGTAATTACTATAAGATGTAAGTGAAACTAAGACATACAGAGATGGAACCGTAAGTATGCCAAGTTTTCGAAAATCTTCTTTACACAATTCAATTTGTGGAATATGTAACATGGTGCGGATCGCTCTTTTTTGTAATACAAACTTTGTTTTAATATTATATGTATAACTGTTGCCCCAGAATTGTATGCTATAACGAAGTTTTGATTCTACTAAAGCAAAATAAACCAATTTAAGCTGCTTTAACGTAATTTCGTATCGTAAACTTCTTTAGGCATAGCATGCAGAACTGATAGTAGATTCTAGTGCTTTCATTTACTTTTTCCAATTCAATGTGTTAACACCGACTTCAGAATGTGTAATTATTTTATTCTTTTCAGGTCTTTGAAGTAGACTTTCACCTTGTTGTTGTTCGGGTAATGTCGTCATTATATTTTTCTCTAAAAATAAATAAAGTTGTTTTCTTAAAAATTGTTTTATTTTTGTTTATTACACAAAGATGGTAAACACAGTTGCAAAAATATTATTTTTTTGTACCAATATCAAGTCATTAAATAAGTTCTGTTAACCAAATTTGAAGACTTAGTGAGCAAGTATTAATATATATAAAAGTTTTGTTACTTTATCATTTCAATATCGAAAATGTTAATTGTTTTTAAGAATTTTCTTAACACATAACCTATGTTCATCCAAAAAGTAAAATGTATCTTCCAGTCAAAGGCTTTTGGAAACAATCTCCTTATTTCTTATGAACATTAACATTTTCCATGTTGATTCATTTCAATACGTTCTTACATTAGTGTAGAGTAAATTACTAATGGAATCTCTGGCATAAGATAACTGGGGGGAAATTGCTGGAAACATTAAACATTTGTTATTAGACTAACAAAATTATGAATTTTAATTGAGCGAGTGTTTACAATGTCAAATATATATCTGGTCTTTATAAAATTAACATAAACATAATTGAAAAAGAATCTATATAAAATTTCTATAAAAAGTACATAAATTAGATATGGCATAAAATTATTACTACACAATTATAAATCTCAAATAATTCTAGTTTAAGTACAAAGATTGCGACAACATAGGGCGTGGAGTAAACGAAATGATTACAGATCTGGAATACAGTAAGCTAGAGATTTTATTGCGCGTGTATTATACAAGAAAATTAAATAGTGCCAAACTGTACATAATACACGTCATACATAATTTATTAAAATGGTTAAATTATTGAAAATGTACATGAACTCATTATTAGTAAGAAATTTTTAAAAAATTAATATTTACATGGCGTATGGTCCAACGGGAATGTTTCATTCAATCGTCATATAATGCAAACATATATATGCCTTTTGTTGTACCTTGAGAAGTTCCATATATTCCATTATCATACACATTAATACTGAAATATTTCATGACTCCCTAATACTTATCTACAATAAGGCAATTTTTTCTTTACATCCAATAATTTAATAACAACACAGGGCCTTTCTAACATTATTCGTGTCTCACACTAATAATGTTTCTATTCTTTTCGGTCTTTTAGGCTTTTGAACACTTGTTTAATTTAAGAATCGTACTACATGAATCAAGAAGAACCAAACTCGTCCATCCATGTGAGATACTTCTGTATGTCGCCTTTGGATACGGATTTGTTGCACTTAGCCAGTGCTTCCATGAAGTCTTGCCTGGTGACGGGCAAGTCCAATTCTTCCTTGGCAAGCTGTTTGATTTGCTCAGGCTTTAAGCCAGCTATCTTACGGCGCATCGACATCATGGACGCGTCTCTGGAAAGTAAGTTACAATAAGTACGGACACACTATTGTAACATGTACTGGTAAATTGTTCTCAATGTTATGGGACCATGTATGAGGGCTCGATACTGGGCAGTTAAGCGTTTGGTTGCTTCTGGTTCAAATGACGTTGTAGTGTGTGCTTATATATATGTAGGATAGAATAGGAGAGAGAGAGTTAGTATTAAATCTACATTCAAGACCGCTAGACGTATCATTTATTCCTCGAACCTCCCAACATTACATATCGCTTACATTATAGCAGCGCATCGCCTGGGAGGGGTCGCCATGTAATGTTGGGAGGTTCGGGGAATAAATGATACGTCTAGCGGTCTTGAATGTAGATTTAATACTAACTCTCTCTCCTATTCTATCCTACATATATATATATATATATATATATATATATATATATATATATATATATATACAGTAGAATCCGTTTATTATGACTCCGCCTATATTGACCAGCCGGTTATTATGACGTATTTGCACTACGAAGTTCGGTTTTCATATAAAATTCTTTATAACAAAGTCGGATATAATGACTTCCCTTACAGTGACATGTCGCTTATTATGACCCATTTTTAATAAATTATGTCCGGTTATAATGACCGACATAATTCTTTACACCTTCGGTATTGTTCGTTGATTCCCGACGACGTTCGGCACGTGGCTTTTTTTTGTTTTGATTCTCAGTGAGTAATTGACGGTTGAAGGTCACGCATTGTTTTTCGTTTGCTACTGTGAAAAAAATGTCATCTCAACGACGTAAAGCATTTACAATTGAGGAGAAAGGTGCAATAATATGCAGATTAGAAAATGGAGAATCTAACTCATGTCTCGCAAAGGAATTTGGCGTGGGTCATTCGACAATCTCAATGATTTTTAAAAACAAGAACCGCATTAAGGAATCGTTCAATTCAAATGTTTTGAAACCGAAGAGGCTTCGAAAATCACGACAAGAAAATGTTGATCAAGCATTAATTCAGTGGTTTAAAAACATGAGAAACAAAGGAATACCTATCAGCGGTCCTATGCTACATGAAAAGGCAAATGGTTTTGCCGCGCGTTTTGGTATTCTCGACTTCAATTGTTCTGCAAGCTGGATTAGTCGTTTTAAAGTTCGACATAACATTGTGGCTGGAAAAATTGTCGGTGAATCTTCGTCTGTAGATCAAAATTCAACAACAAACTGGTTGATATCTGTGTGGCCGAATTTACGAAGACAATTTTTTGATGATGAGATATTCAATGCTGATGAGACTGGACTTTTTTACAAATTAATGCCGGATAAAACTTTAAAATTTAAAGGTGAAAATTGTAGTGGAGGTAAGTTATCGAAAGATAGAATAACTGTCATGGTAACAGCGAATATGAGTGGCACAGAGAAGAAGAAATTGCTCTTTATTGGAAAGTCACAAAAACCAAGATGTTTTAAAGGTGTCAAATCATTACCTGTCGATTATGTTAACAATCGTAAAGCTTGGATGACGTCAGAACTTTTTGAAAAATGGCTTCGTGATTGGGATTGTGATTTGGTGAAGAAGAAGAAAAAGATTCTATTGCTGGTTGATAATTGCCCGGCGCATCCAAATGTTACTGATTTAAAGTCTATAACACTTGCTTTCCTTCCGCCGAATACAACATCAGTACTACAGCCAATGGATCAGGGAATAATACGATCACTCAAAATGAATTTTAGGAAGAACCTTGTGCTCAAATTGATTAATTGTCTTGATGCTAATGAAAACCACTCTTCTACAAAAGTAACGGTGCTAGATGCAATTCTGATGGTTAATGATGCCTGGAATAAAATGTCTCAAAGTACCATTCATAACTGTTTCAAACACGCAGGATTCATTGAAAGCCACAACGGTTTACCTATTCAAATATCAGAACATGAATTCGATAAAGAAGATGACATTCCTTTATCTTTGTGGTCACGAAACCTAAACTCAGATTCTTTAGCAGCACCGGAAATGTGGGAAGATTATGTTGACATCGATAGCGGTCTCCTCACATCCGAAGAACCCACAGATGAAAATATCGTACAGAACATTAGTGCTAAGGAACAACTCGAAAGTGATGGGGAAGAGGAAGTCGAGGAAGCACCATTACCTACCGCAGAAGAAGCATTAAAAGCTGCAGAATTATTATCACGGTTTGTTCACAGCAATATTGAAAATGATAATTTGACCATAGCTATGTCTTCTATACACAATAGTATTAGAGACTGTTTTTACAATAAAATGAAAAAACAAAAGCAGACAAAAATTACAGATTACTTACAGTAAAAAATACACTTGTACATACAATGTGTTATTATAATAATGTGCTGATTACGTGCAATTTTGATGTTTAATATGTATATATACATATGTACATATGTGATTACATATGTACTATGTATGTTTCTGTATTAAAATACTTAAATACATACATATGTATTTACATAAAAAAAATTTTTTCATTTCACATAACGCTTTACATGACGTCCGCTTATTATGACGTGTTTGTCAATTCCTTTCGAAGTCATTATAAACGGACTCTACTGTATATATATATATATATATATATATATATATATATATATATATATATATATATATATATATATATATATATAAGCACACACTATAACGTTCCGAAAAATTAACAATAAAGGTAAATAAAAATATAAAGTTTACATCTTAATTAAATTTTAAATAAAAAATAATTCCAACCAAACTTTTAATATATACGAGGTCTGTTCAAAAAGTATCGCGAATTTTGAATTTCCGCGGACTACGTATATTTTATTTTTGATTTTTTTGTAACATTATGTTGGTACTCATGTCCCTTACTTATGCTTACAAGATCGGCCATTTTGAATGTTTAGTTAATTTTGGACAGCTGTTTTGCTTGGATGTGTTGTGGCTCGTCTTCGATTTTTGCCTGTTCCAAAAAATTGATTAAAGAATCTGTATTAAATTTTGTGTGAAAAACAAAATAAAGTGCGCGGGAGCATTCCGAATGTTGACTGTGGCATATGGTGAAGCTACCTTGGACCAAAGCAACGTTTATCAGTGGTACAAAATATTCTCAGAGAGTCGAGAAGATGTGAACGACGAACAGCATGCCGGACGCCCGAGCACGTCAACAACAGACGATAACATAGATAAAGTGAACAAAATATTATTGGCCAATCGTCAAATCACCGTTAGAGAAGTTGCTGAGGACCTAAACATACCGATTGGCTCGTGCCATTCGATTGTAAGTAATGATTTGAGCATGAGTCGGGTTGTCCAAAAACAGCATCGCGTTAACAAGTCAGGAGATGTTTGACACGGTCCATGACGACCCAAATGTGCTCCAGGGGGTCATAACTGGTGACGAATCATGGATTAATGGTTATGACGTGAAAACCTAAGCTCAATCATCTCAATGGAAGCTGCCGCATGAGCCAAGATCAAAAAACGCGCGCTAAGTTCGGTCGAACGTGAAGGTTTTGCTCAGTTTTCTTCGATTGCAGGGGCGTGGTGCATCATGAGTTCTTGCCACAGGGTAGTAAGGTCAATAAGGAATATTACCTGAAAATTATGCGCAATTTGCGCGAAGCAATCCGCCGGAAACACCCAGATTAGTGGAAGAACAAAAACTGGCTTTTGCACCATGATAACGGCCATGTTTACACATCGTTGCTTGTGCGCGAATATTTATCCAAAATCAACACAGTAATAGTCCCACAGCCACCGTCTTCCCCAGATCTGGCCCCCTGTTACTTTTACCTGTTCCCAAAACTGAAGAAGCCCATGTAAGGACGACGCTACGCCATGATTGAGCAGATAAAGACGGCATCGAAGGAAGAGCTGAAGAAGATTACGGAAAATGATTTTTTCAAGTGCTTCGAGGATTAGAAAAAAACGTTGGCACAAGTGCATTATATCCGAGGAGGATTACTTTGAAGGAGACAAAATACATATTTATGAATAAATAAATACTTTTTGAAAAAATACAAAATTCGCGATACTTTTTGAACAGACTGTGTATTACTCTATAATAAAATAATGCTATATGTAGTGCCTAGACATTGATAGGTCAATACTTCAATGATACGTTAGCATCAAAGAGATTTAAAGTTAGCATTTAAGGGGGTGTAATTTTAACTGACTTCAGAAAGAGAACTGCCACAATTAGATTGTATTTTTAATGTATAAATAATAAATATGTATATATTTAAACGTCTTTAGGACATAGGAAACAGTTTTGTTTTTTGAAAAAGAAAGTCCACTATCGCAATACATATATTTCAACCGCATTCACTAGACATATTTATTATGTATTATAGCTTCTCTACACGATGGGCCATCGCAATGGCCCATGTGCAGAGCCTAGTGGTGTCGGAGGGCTTCTGGCGCGTGCGATGGTCTTGGGGATGGCGACGGTGTCGGTTTTTCCACCGCACATCAAAGGTAGCAACGGCGGTACGCATGTATGCGTAAAATTTTAATCATAAAGTTATTAAAATCAGAACATATTATTTTTTATTTATTTATTTTTAATATTTATTTAATAGTTTTTTATTTAATTATTAATCATAATTATTTAATTATGTTTGTTTAAAGAAAATGAAATTGACTTAGGATATATTTAGTTATATTGCGATGGATAGATAACATCATCGATCACTAATAGTTCTTTAGTAGTGATCGATGGATAAAATCCACCATCTTCTTCTACGCCATTTCTTTTTTTAACCCAATTCTTGTGCAAAAATAACGGTACGTCCATCTCGAAAAACGTTTCGACCACAAGTGAATGTCGACATCGTATAGTTGCGTTTCAACCATCGCATGGCCATCTCGCTGTGTCAGCGGTGGCCCATCGTGTAGAGGAGCTATTAAAGTTTTTAAATTCGCCAAATATATGGTTTTCAAAAGATTCTCACCGACAAACGTTAGTAATATCAGCGCCGGAGTAACCGTCGAGTTTTTTCGCGATTGCTCGTAGATCGACCTCAGGGTCGACTTTGACCTCACGTAAGTTGATCTGTAAGAGTGCCTCACGTCCCTCCTGTGTCGGTAGAGGTATGTAGATTCGCTTCTCAAGCCTTCTCCGCAGCGCCTCGTCTATGTCCCACGGGAAATTCGTTGCAGCTAATACCATTACTACCTGTAAATTCCAAATGATAACCATGATGAATCCTAAATGTGATATATATATATATATATATATATATATATATGTTCAAAATATTTTATTAATAAATAAAAGACTTACAAAACAGTAATGAAATTAATATTTTATAATAATAAGTATATATTAGTTTTTTTTTTTAAAACTATGCTAAGTTGATCTTTTGGACTTTGAGAGCCCTTAACTAATTATTTACTCATTATTTTGGATTTATAATGGCTTAGTTAGATCAAAGATACGTCTGGGACCAAAATTAAATAAAAATTTCAATCGAAAACATGTACCAAAAAAATTATAGGACAGTAAAATTTCGGAAAATATTAGAAAATTACAAAAAAAATATTTAAAAAAAAATTTAAAAAATTAGGGTCTTCTAATTCAATTTGTATTTTACAAATAGATTCACCTACACGCTCACCAAGTTTTTCTAACCCTCCACCAAACACCCTGTAGTGTAATGTCAAATTATATAATTTAAGACATCACTAAATTCAGCAATAATGTAGTGATTTATTAATGAAGGTGGCTCAGCTTAATTTTTGGACACGTTATTTTTTAAACGAAATGTACGTCTCGCAAAAATGATTTCTTTCACCAGCGAGAAAATTTTCCTGTGACATTTAATAGGGATGAACTACAACGTAGCCAAGTGGTTAGAATACTTAACTTGTCAGTTTATATTCCGGTTATGTTATAATTAATCCCTAGTGTCTAATACTGTATAAAAGCGTATAACATACCTGATTATAATAGAAGCTTTGGATATGATATGGGTGACATCGGTTGAGTACTCTGTCTTTATGTGTATATTACACTTATGGGTTGAGCTGTTACAGCTTTTCGGTGCTGTAAAGATTAAGCCGGAAAGCATGGTAATGAGGCAGCGGCACAAGTTACCTTGGCGGGCTCGTCGGTGGCAGAGCCGAGTCCGTCCATCTGCACGAGCAGCTCGGACTTGACGCGGCGCGAAGCTTCGTGCTCGCTGTCGGAGCCGCGCCGCGAGCACAGCGAGTCGATCTCGTCGATGAAGATGGTACTCGGCGCGTAGAACCGCGCCTACACCACATCAAATACATATTATTCTATAAAATAAGAGTGAAAACGAGCACAAAGTCCATCTGATAGCAAGTGAATACGCATAGTATACGCAAAATACGCGCTTATATGTTTAGTTGCGGATAACAGCCCATCGCAAACTGGTCCATAGACATCTACATCTTTCCTCGATTAAGTATCAAAATGCAGATACATTGTCAATCCTCAGTTCTAAGATGGAATACCTCGTTTTCAGTAAAATGGTTCACCAGGTTCACATTTATCGTACGAAACGTACAACCATAAAGCTGCTATCTTTTGTGGTTTTTCTCCGAGCGAGTGAAAATAAAAAAAATTATAGTATATAGTAAGTGTAGGGCACCGAAAAGCCTTTTTACTGAAAACAAGGCATTCCATATTAATCCTAAAGGATGACAAAATAATTGAGGATAAATGTAGATGTCTATGGGCCACAGCATCCACTTGCCATGTGGATGTTAGTGGATTGTGTGCTTGTTTGTACCCTAATTCTTTAAAAAAATGACTCTTCTCCTAGTCTGTTTTCCTCTGTAGCCGCTTACGATAACTACGGGACTATTACGGGGTAACTGACATTCTTTCACCACCACTACACAATGGGTGCGTTTGGCAGAAAAAAGCGCTAGCAAGCGCTTATAAGCGCTAAAATAGTTTTCGGCCAGGACACGATTGCTACTTCAGTAGCGCTGACACAATCCGCCATTTTGCTTATTTAATTTGTTTGTTTTGAAGTAGAGTTTATAAGTTGTTTTGTGTAATATTAGTTTCAAGTAATATAATGACATGAATAAACATATTATACATGTTATTAAAAATTCATGATTGGTAAGTTTTTAATATGAATACTTTACAAACATATATTTAAATTAGGTTAGGTTCCCGGGTTAAAACTAACATCGTGTCCTGGAGGAAAATAGCTACTTACGATTTGACAGCGCTTACCGCTTACGATGGCCATTTTGCTTACAAGCCCTTGCTAGCGCTTTTTTCTGCCAAACGCACCCAATTAGTATTGATTTTTTGAGCAAGCGAGCATACGGCTCACCTGATATGTGATTACCGCCGCCCATGAACAACTGCAGCACCAGGGGAATAGCAGATGTGTTGCCGGCCTTTTAAAAATGAACAGGCTCTTTTCTTGAAGGTCCCAAAGTCGTATCGGTCCGGAAAAATCTCTGGTGGTAGTCGATTCCACAAGGAAGTTGTGCGAGGAAGAAACTTCCTAATTATCATTTTGATGCACAGCCTTTTGTTTCACTTTTTTAATAATATTCATACTCAGTTAAGATTATGTAGCTTGATGTGTACTCGCTCAGGATCTAAATAATTTTCAACTATACATAATAGAGAAGTTGCATGTCTTTTAATTTTATTTTATTTTTTGAGTTTACAAAAAAATACATTTTTGTAACAATTGATTTTTCATGTAATTTTACAATTAAAAATGGTTTTTCTATAATGTAAATTCTTACGACAATGACGTCATTATATCGTTTTAGTAACGCCACTGCATGGTGAAATGATAAAATAATCATGCTTACATTGTCAAAATGAAAAGAAATGTCATTGCATAATATAGGATATAGGATATAGGAATGGCTGCGTTTGGCAGAAAAAAGCGCTAGCAAGCGCTTGTAAGCAAAATGGCGAAACTAAACAGTTTTCGGCCAGGACACGTTTGCTAACTTCAGTAGCACTGACACAATCCGCCATTTTGCTTATTTAATTTGTTTGTTTTGAAGTAGAGTTTGTAAGTTGTTTTGTGCAATATTAGTTTCAAGTAATATAATGACATGAATAAACATATTATACATGTTATTAAAAATTCATGATTGGTAAGTTTTTAATATGAATACTTTACATATATTTAAATTAGGTTAGGTTCCCCGGTTAAAACTAACTTCGTGTCCTAGAGGAAAATAGCTACTTACGATTTGACAGCGCTTACTGCTTACGATCGCCATTTTGCTTACAAGCGCTTCTTAGCGCTTTTTACTGCCAAACGCAGCCAATATATAAATAATGGGTGCGTTTGGCAGAAAAAAGCGCTAGCAAGCGCTTGTAAGCAAAATGGCGATCGTAAGCAGTAAGCGCTGTCAAATCGTTAGTAGCTATTTTCCTCTAGGACAAGAAGTTAGTTTTAACCGGGAACCTAACCTAATTTAAATATATCTTTGAAAAGTATTCATATTAAAAACTTACCAATTACGAATTTTTAATAACATGTACAATATGCTCACTCATGTCATTATATTACTTAAAACTAATATTGCACAAAACAACTAATAAACTCTACTTCAAAACAAACAAATAAACAAAATGGCGGATTGTGTCAGCGCTACTGAAGTTAGCAAACGTGAACTTGCCGAAAACTGTATTTAAAAAAAAGAATATTAACAATGCTATAAACATCACTAATATTCCCTTTTAACCATTCGTGGTAAGCTTAAATTGCTTGTGTTACGAGTAGTTCACGCCAGTAGTCGAATGGTGGATGCGAACCCACGACCTTTTTGAGTTCGCGGTTCGCGCTCTGCCATTAGGCTACTGTCGCGGTTTAGTTTCGCTATTTTGCTTACAAGCGCTTGCTAGCGCTTTTTTCTGCCAAACGCAGCCATTATGTTTTGTTATGACACTTGATGATTCGCATGTAAAAAATACAAAAGTATGGCATGTTTGCGATTGGCTCCCAGCCTTAAATGATATAAAGATGTCACAACCAATCACAGGTCGCTATTTTTCATTCAAAAATTTGACTATTTTTATTAATTACTAATAAAATGTAATTGTTAATAAAAATATATTTAAATATTCTTCATATGAGTTATTCTTTCATTTATATAATTATAAATTTGTGGCAAAAAAAATAATGCAACTTCTCTATGTCACATTTTATTACTCATATAACGTCAACTTAATTATTAAGCCCGCATTCACATCTGCAAATGCGATGTCAAAAATCCACATTCGGATGTGTTAGTAAACTTCATAGTAAGCATCCGTCCACAGTCGCACTCGCAGCGCTCAGGCCACTCACCATCTCGAATAGCAGACGCACGAGCTTCTCGGACTCGCCGCGGTACTTGGAAGTGAGAGTGGAGGAGGACACGTTGAAGAAGGTGGTGCCGCACTCGGTGGCCACCGCCTTGGCCAGCATGGTCTTGCCCGTGCCCGGCGGACCCACCATCAGCACGCCCTTCCACGGGCGACGGATGCCCTGCGAACAACACATCAGACCAGAGCTACTATGTATTCTGTGACCGGAGTCAACTCTTACATATTATCCGGGACATAGTCGTTTTTTAAAACATTCGCAATTTAAATATTTCTTTATCGACTCTAAATGGTAGAACCACGCTGCAAATATATTATGGGTGAAGCACGAATGGGTCAGCTCAACCGGGGAAGGACCAGGCTCCTACAGAATACCAGTGTAAAAAAGCAGCTTTGCTGCTGTGTTTCGTATGAAGAGTGTAGAAAACCCAAGACCCTTTTTACTCATAATGAGGCATTCCATCTCAGTCCTCAAGGGTGACAACGCATCTCCATTTTGATTCTTAAGGGGAAATATAACCTTAAATGGCTTAGCAAGATCCTCCGTTATGCCGAAAATATTGCAGCATTAATTTTGAAATTAATATATGGTAAAGTTGAGGATTAATGTTAAGTACTATGTTTGACGAAAATACGATTCCGTAAAATTTTCTCGATAGAAAAAAAAATCCAAAGATACCTCCAAACTGAACAATAAACCGCTGTTATTCATAAAATACTTTAAATAAGATCATGAAACTATGCATACTAACTGAACTAACTATAAAGCAGTGCTTATGTTATTTACTTTTAAAATACCATTATTTTCACTGTAAAAAAAATTACCTAAACTGTCGGCGTCTTGAAGTTTGATTCCTGTCGCCCCGTTGGTATGTTTTGATAGGGAGAAGTTGTGTCGCTTACGATCAGAATATACATTACGCAACAGGACGACGTAAAATTTAAATGGGAAATAACCGTAATAAAAATAAGAAACGACTGGGTTGGCGTTAAGAAACAGCCATAAATATGATAAACCTAATGAAATAAGTATCTAACGACCTTTCTACTTACGGTATTAGTGATTACAAACATGTCGGTACATAGCATACGACGCGCGGGGAAGTGGGGGCGAAATTAGAATTTGAGCTGACTTACTATATCTACATCCACATCCCCTTAATTGATGATAAATGAAGATGTCTATGGGCCACAGCATCTACTTACCATCTGATAGACTTTGTTCTAGTTTATCACCCTTATTCTGTATAAAGAGGATAAATGTAATAAAGTAAGTAAGTAATAGCATAAATGGTCTGACTGCACTTTACAGGACGTCTTAGTAGTGCGGACTTTTCTATCCAGGGCGTTAAGTTCAGTAATGTTATTATTATTTACCATTACCATTGCCGGTCTGAGTATTTTGTATCTGGAATGTACAAGATAGTTGAAACGCCATCTATTGTTTATTTTTCGTATTGGAACTTTTTAATTTCAATAAAGAAATAAATTTTTGTGAAAAATGTGCATCTGTTAACCTTGAAGAAATCCGGCATCCACATGGGCAAGACGACTGCTTCTTCCAACAGTCGTTTGGCTTCCGTCAGGTCTGCGATGTCGTCCCATCTGATGTTTGGATTCTTTTGTACTATATCTCTTTCTGTAACAAGACGCGTGATTAAGCAATAATAAATAGTAATGTTATAAAGTTTTTTTTTACTTTTACACAACATGGAGAAATTATTATAACTCTACAAATGTTTTGTTTTATTATATTCTACTGCAAAATTAACATTTTTTAAGAATACCCCACCCTACCCTATGAGCCACTACCCTGGCACTTTCAATGCAATTCTCCATCGGTCTATGAGACTTCAGCACGCACGAATGAATGTACAGCTATTTGTCGATCATTAGGGCCTCGTTCATTAGTTAGAAGCAAGCATACTACAGATTGGTAAAGGGCCATGCAAATGCTTTGATTTGGGCTCTTAACTTATTCAAATGGGTTGGCTCGACCTGGGTTGGCTGACCCTGACACACTTGCACGGAATAACAGCATAAAGGGGCAGCTTAATGCTGTTGTTTTGTATGGTGAGTATAGAACCGGAGACACGCTTTACGAGTAACAATTGAGGTTAAAAATGTTAGGCCACAACATCGAGTTACCATTAAGTGGGCTGTGTGCTCGTTTGTCACCCTAATTTAAAAAAATAACTTGTCTAAGGTCTAGCTATAGGTCTAGTTATATCTAGCTGTAGACTGTTGTAAGTGTGTGACGAACAGAAGTATAATTTTATATATCAGAATCATTTTAAATGTAGTATTACGTATCACATCATTCTTGCCGATTTCTTTTCGTTATCAAAAACTACCAACTGCTCACGAAATATTATTGTAGTATATAAATAAATGAGATTACCCCCTTACTATCCTGATTTAAATCCCATGGAGACGGTGTGGGCTGCAATAAAAGGTCATGTAGCAGCAAAAATGTGGAATTAAAGCGACAGTAGCCTAATGGCAGGGCGCGGACTGCGAACTCAAAAAGGTCGTGGGTTCGAATCCGCCATTCGATTACTGGCGTGAACCACTCGTAACACAAGCAATTTAAGCTTACCACGAGTGGTTAAGGGGAATATTAGTAATGTTTATAGCATTGTTAATATTCTTTAAAAAAAAATGAAACGCTAACTGCATCATGAATCTTGCAAAAGTGGAGATGATGGAGCAAGAATGGAGGGCTTTGTGCAGAAAAGTTAACGAAGCAGAGGAAGAGTATAGAAAATGTGATCATATTATACATGAAATGATTGAACGTTTTATTGTTAGGGTAGGAACTTAAACTTTCGGTGAATAAAACGAAACTTTAATTAAGCAATTTAAAATATATTTAATATTTAAATGTAATAATTCAATATAATCAAATAAGAAATTAAACTTTCATTGAAAAATAAATAGTTTATATTTCAAAATAGTTGGGTACTCTGGCCTTTACGCTTTACGATGTTCAATATTTGCTAAAACATGCCAGAACCTGCAACTCGTTCCAACGACTCACCGAGCATATCGACGAGGTCGCCGTCGGCAGCGGACGGAGGTTCGAACCTGCGCTCCTCTTCTTTATGCCGCTCGTCGTCAGTGTCGCCGTTGTTGTTGTCCCTGTCCTGTTTGTCCTTCCCGCTGCTGTGATCTTTGTTGTTTACTTCTTTTGTTTTCGCTGTAACAACGCGAGATTAAGTGTTTAAAAAACATAACATAACGTATACACTCACACCTGTCACCTAGAGGGGTAAGCAGGGATTACGGACTTCAATAAAATATAGCACGACTGTTCTTAACATACACATAAGTTAGTGCGAGCGTACAAACATTCGAATGTACCACAATCGTACATAAATATACAGACAAAGAAGGACGTTAAAAACATTGGAATTCGAAAAAAAAATAGAATAAAACTAAAATTAGTTTATTAGGGCCCATAACAATAAAAAATCGATTTCATCCATTACAGCCTATTAAAGTCCACTGCTGAACATAGTCCTCCCCTATAAATAGCCTTATAGAGGATTTTGCCATAGTTGCCACGCTTGGCAAGCGGGCTGGCAACCGCAGTTTTATTATTATTTTGAGTTGTTAAGAGCTGATGCCCATCTCCTGTTCCTGTTGCCTCGGTTGCCTCTTAGGACATCTACGGGTTGATATGGGGTTAGTGGATATTCTAGCACCGCCACACCACAGTTCTAAACAAACATAAAAAATAACCCAGCAAATATATTAAAGTAATTACAGTCAACCAAACCTATAGAGCTTAATACCTCAATCAAAATAAGTATTAAAAAAAAGTTTAAATTCGCAATTCGTGAGATTGTAATTCAAACCTCGGTGGCATCGTGTCGTCTATTTTTCGCTCGAGAACTATGTTAAGAGCTCTAGACTAAATTGAAGAACGCTTGACAACGTAGCATGTATGTGTGAGTTTTTCTCTATAATAAATCCAGTGTTTGAAAATTATCCCACCTGTAAGTGTGGTGGAAGTTAGTAAAGTACACTAACTCAGCTTAATAAATATTATATTGTCATTCATTTATTATGTATGATATTCACACTAGCCTTAAAGACACGTTCATTTTAATCGGATGGAAAAACAGACGCCGCCAAATAATTCTACTATTAAAATCATAGGATACTATAATACATACATAGAACGGGGGAATGGGCGGAGCCCGTGTAGCCACTAAAATATCACTGACACGTCAATGCACACGTATAAATGTCAACACGAGATGTGTTTTGACGTTACAATCGTTGCCAAATTTTGCACGCAAATTATTTAGAAAATGCCAAATTGCACGCTATTTACAAATAAATATGTATTAAAATTTAATGATGATCTTGAACATTAATCAAAAGTCTAAAATGTGTAAATTGAATATGACCGTCTTCTGAATAACTGCATTCGATTCATTTTCAATCTTCGAAAGTATGACCATGTATCCACGTATCGATCTCAATTAAAATGGTTACCTATTCGTCAACGCCGTAGTTTGCGTGCACTCACCACCCTTTATTCTTTCCTGATGTCTCCAACTTCCCCTTCCTACTTATCTCCTCACTTTCAGTTGCTTAGTGCTAGTCATGAGAGAAACCTCCGCTCTACGAACAACCTTCTTCTCCTATGTCCATCCCATAGCTCTGGACTTGTTCATTCTTCTTTCCACATTCAATCTATTCTCCTTTGGAACGCACTCCCTCTCGAAATCAGGACGGCTAGCAATCGGTACGCGTTCAAGATGAAGGTTTGGGAACACTTACTTAATAAATTGGCAGAATCATCATCCTCATCATTGGCAGAACCAGCGTCCTCATACGGCCAGCAGTGATGGACCACGTCTCTGATCCGTAAGTCATCACTGGCAACACGCACTGGTTGTACATGTGTATGTGTACGTATATGTGTATATATGTATGTATGTGTGTTTATGTATTTATATGTATATATATATGTATGTTTATATGTGTATATATATATATTCTTATTGTTATTATTGTAATTATGTATATTATATATTTTATATACATATATGTGTATGAATATTAATGTAATTTTATCTATTTTTTGCGATGTACCATTTATATCTTATGTATTTTATTTCCATATATTACAATTTTTTTTGTTATTTTATTTTAGTATTCGCATATTAACTTTTTATTACACCTACTTCATTCTATCTCTGCATCATCCCAAGGTAGACTGGGAGAGAATGCCTTAGGCATTAAGTCAGCCTATATACCACTCGTGTATATGAAGTTTTAAATAAATAAATAAATTTACTCAGTCTGTCAACACAGCGAATCGGGTTTGGCGACGCCAATCCTCGTATAAAATAAAGTTGACAGCCATTCTATTGTGTATTATACTATTCTCTGATTAAAATATAGTCATTAAGAACAACAGCAAAACGTTTAGTTCGAACGCATGTCGACAACAAAGGGTTTGTAGACTCGCCTAGCATCTGTTTACTTCCATGAAGGAAAGAAGAGGGAGGAATTCATTCCAACGCTCAATCTCTAATATTAGTTTTGTAGAATACCGAGAGGCTAGGTTCATAGAACGCCATTATGTGGTAGTACTTCAATCGGAATATTGGATATTGTAGTGGCGGCTTAGGAGAATTCATCACTTTACTCGTAATACGTCTCGTGAGTATCGTAAGTGTCGACTGAGGGATATTCCACTAAGATCTTATGCCTTTCAATAAAAGGCAGAATAACCATCTCGTTTATGTTTAGCGTAAAACACCTCTCATAGAAAACCAGCGTTAAATAGCACCTTAATGCTGTTGTGTTTCGTATGGTGAGTGTAGAGAACCGTGGATCCTTTTTACTGGAAACGAGGCATTCCATGCCATTCCTCAGGGGTGACAACGCATCGTTTTGATTATGGGCAACAGAATTCACTTACTATCATGTGGACTGTATGCCAGTTTGTCATCCTTATTCCATAAAAAAGCAGCATCAAAGGTGCGAGACGTCTGGTGCTGCAATCGACGATCCGCTTGCCAAGCGTGACGATCAAGGCAAATCATCTTTACAACGGGTGAGTCCCCTCTCCAGCAGTGGAATTTTACGGGTTGAAGTACTCCATTGTAAATATATGGTTTTACGTGGTAGAGCCACGCTGCAGCTATATCATGATTGTACCGCGAATGGGTCGCCTCGACCGGCGTGGGACCACGCTCTTACAGAATACCAGCGTAAAATAGCAGCTTAATGCATCTGCGTGTTCGTATGGTGAGTGTAGAGAACCGGAAACGCTTTTTACTGGAAACAAAGCATTCCATCTCAGTCCTTAGAGGCAGTACAACTGAATTAGTAAAGTAAAGTTACAGGCTATATACGTCCTACTACTGGGCACAGGCCTCACCTCATTTATGAGAGGGTTTAAGAGCAAGGAAGTGTCCGCCGAGCTGCCTAAATGCGTTTTGGCGAACTTCACATGTTTTCGAAATATTTTTCCTTATTCCTCAGACATGCAGGTTTCCTCACGATGTCTTCCTTCACCGCCGAGCACGTGGTAAATCAGCACTTAAAATTGCCATTAACAATTTCATTGGTGCCAGCGGGGATCGAACCCAGGTTCTGTTATATTTACAGCGAGCGTGAACCATCTGAGCTACCACGGCTAGCATCTGAATTATGATTCTTAATTCTACAGCGTCCACATACCATCTGGTTGACTGTGTGCTTGTTTGTCACCCTAATTCTAAAAAAAAATTCAAAGTTGCTGTAACAACTCCGATTATTTTAAATATAAATTCCACCACCATGTCTCCTCCACACGGTAGATAAACACATTCACATAAATAAACTGATACAGCTAGTTTTCAATAAGGTAATGAAAACTATGGGAAATAACTCACCACTATGAGCTTTACTGGCATTGATCTTAGGGTTCCTGACGTCGGACGTTTTGCGTTGCGAGGTGGTGGCGTTGCGTTGTGCGGTGGTTGGTTTCTTGTTGTCGCGGTTGTTGCGAGGGTTGTTGCGGGCAGATTTCATTGCTGGCGGACCTCTGGAAATACGAAAAACCGGGTAGAAATAGCGGATGCAATATTAACATTTCAATACTATTAAACTAACGCACGGTAGAGCAGTGACTAAACCTTTCGCTTTGGCGCGGTGCTGCGAGGCCGCAGATTCCAATCTCGTACGGATAAATCAGTGATTGTATGATTTTTGAAAACATCGTAAGCAAACTTGTAGGAGAAATTAAAAAAAATCGGAGACACCTAAAGTCCGCCAACACGCATCAGGGTAGCGCTATGAGCACTTTCTTAATCATAGTCCGTAGGTATGCTCTCACTAGATAGAGTAGGATTTCAATAAGATATATAGATATTATAATTATTCCCACGTATAATTATAAAACCGGATACCCTTTTTACTGGAAACGAGGCATTCCATCTTAGTCTCACGGGTGACAACGCATCTGCATTTTGATTCGTAATTGAGAATAGATGTCGATGTCTATGGACTACAGCAACCACTTACCATCAGGTGGACTGTTTGCTCGTTTGTCACCCTATTTTATAAAAAAATACAACAATAAACAATAATAGTACAATAAACAGTAAAAATGTAAAGTTATTTAAGTTAGAGTAAGTTAAAACCACTGCCATGGCGGCAAATGACGTATAAAAATCCCTGACGTAAGCACATAGTGTGTGTACGCGGTAGGGACGCAACCAATTTGGCGCTTTTTAACGCCGGAACTAGAGCTTATTTGCGTACAGCGCATTTATGTGTACTATATTTACCGCCTCGTTGGTCTAGTTGTCATAGTGCGACTGCTGATCATGAGGTCCTGGGTTCGAATCCCGAGTCGGGCCAACAAATCTATTAGAGTTTTTTCGTCAAGAAATTCTCAGTAGTTGTTTGAAGTCAGGAAGTTGGTGGTGTCTCACCCGCGTGCCTCGGAAACACGTAAAGCCGTTGGTCCTGTGCCTGATCTCTCTCCGGTCGTATCGGTTTACCGTCCCATCGGATTATAAGAGTGAGGCACTAGAGAGTGCACCTGTGCTTGCGCATACACTCGGGCACTATAATCCTGTCCTGCGCCAATGGCTAGTCTTCGTTGAGGCAGGCCGCCGTGACCGAAATTCGGTCTGAGCATATTATTATCGTTAAATATTTAATGAACAGAGGATATATTTTTATTAAAAATATTATACGCAAACTACTACAATTAACAAAGCATACTACTTACTTTCTAATATGTAATTACATTTCTCATACTAATAATTACATGAGACCTAGTAGATGAAAGGCTTAGCAATCGGTTTAAATTTTAAATTACACAAACAACCTGAGTCCGAACCTCCGACTCAGATAATAAGCGCAGATTTGCCTTCTGCTCAGTGGCAAACGATAACTTAACGAGGAAACCCTGGAACATGTCCGCCTGTTCAAATTAAATGGGGCAGTGCGTGGACTCTCCTGCTCACTTGCTTGACTTACCCCAGTGGGGCATGTTACTTTCCTAGTGTAACACTCATAAATATTTCTTTAAAGAGACGGTTATTGTTTCTTGTTTCTTTTTTTGTTAAGCTTTTTTTATATCAGCAACAAAATTTTAGTCTATACGTAAATATAGTCGTAGCATGCGTTACGTGGATAGTATGACTATTATGGTTGTTGAATTACTTTTTCCTTTAACACGTGCCTGGATATGAATTAACTAATAACAAAACTTACCGGCACGTGCTTTACCTCATTTATAAACAAAAGAATGTAAAAGGCTAGAGAGATTTTACACGGCAGCTTAATTGTCTAATAGTGATGATTACAGGGTTTGATAATTTGACTGCAATTCTTTGGAAATCTTCTTATTCAATGGCATCTTATGGTTTTAATTGGTATCGTCCTTGTCTGCTTGCTATAGTCGATAAGAACTAAAAAAAAATTAATTTCCACATACTTAATAACTTCTGATATCAGAGCTTAACTATGATTTAAGCACCTCTATTTCGCCCTTTTGTGAGGTCCAAGGAATATTATCACAAATTAAATCGAATGTCATTGAATAGGTAAATTAAAATATTTATTTACTATTTTTGTATCATTATGGATGTATTTTTTGAACTCTTGCTGTATAATCTAATAATTTAAAAAAAATGTTTTTATCCATTTCGTGAGAGGCGACAGAGGAAAATTTTAACAGAAGATGGGCGGCAGTATTTTCCTGATAATAACTCCAAATAATGAAAAACTGCGGTTGCCAACACGTGCCAAGCGTGGCAACTATGACAAAATCCCCCACATGAAGCAGTCTATGGGGGAGGCCTACGTTCAGCTTTTATAGGTTGTAATGGATGGATGGATTCGTTTCCGAGAAATCGGTGAATATACATAAAAAAATACGCGTCAAATAGAGAACCTTCTCTTTTTTGAACTCGGTTAAAATGACCGAAACCATACCTAATGAGATATAAAGCAATATTCTTGTGCGAATTCCTAATTTAGCACTGCAATTGTAAACATGCCTCATAACTCATAGAAAGGTATATAGCGGAGAACCTTTAAATGTTTAACTCTGGCATACAGTAGAGGCTGATAGGATTGCAAGCCGTATTTATTAAAAGAAACTATTTACTTATGCTCGACGCTGGTGGGCGGTGGCCAGGCGTTGGGATCGCGGTCTGGTGGCGGCGGCCAAATGTCTGGGTCGATCTCGTGCGGTGCCGCGCCCCACATCTGGTCTCGCGTCGGCAAGTCTTCGTAGTCTGCAATAACACATTACACAGTTTAAGTATTCAAAATTGGTATTCATATATGAGAGCCTTTGTTTGGTTAACAATTTTAAGGATATACTCGTACATATATCTATATTCATTTAAGAATGAAAAATACGGTACAATTTGGATTTAAATTTATTAATAAAATATATAATACTAGCTTGCCAGGCAGGCGTTGTTCTGCCCTTTTCGACGACCCTTTGTCCTTGTGTCCTATTAAAAAATCCTTAAATTAGCAAAAGAAAACTGTGGGTCACTCATGGGCAAAACAACTATCCTATCTCTCAAGTTGGACCAAACTGCACACGGTGTACAAATTTAATTAAAATCGGTTAAGTAGTCTAGGAGTCCATCGCGGACAAACAATGTGACACGTAATTTATATATATATATATTAGGATAATTGGATTAAAATTTATTAAATAAAGCACATAGAGAACAGACGAAAATTTAGCGTATAAATACACAAATAATTCAAGATGGATATTATATAGTATTGGCGTAAAAACTCTTGACCTAGGTGCATCTCAACGTGTTAATTTTGTGCATGTATATTTATTATATACGTGCCTATCACCCCACACTTCCTCTCTTATACCAATGTACACGCCGGATTACATTGCCGGATTCCGTATCTATTCTCGTCACGTCTTTCTCACCATAACGTTCTCTTAATCCCAACATTCTCTGGCTGTTAATTTTAGAATTTTACAAACAAATATCAAAACGAAAATAAACACAGGATATTGGAGACCAAACTCTCTCGAAACACGAATGATGTGAGATGTGATGTTTAGAATTGTTATAAACCGATAGAAATTTTGTGACCAAGATTAAGAAAGGAATGCTTCGGTGGTTTAGATTTGAACACTAAGAAGGAATAAATGAGAAAAGAAGTCATACCACTACACAGTGACGACGAGACGAGTTCTCAAGTGTTCGTTTTTTCTTCAAAGCGAGAAGAATAAGATAGGTTTTATTAGTTATGCATTATAGAGCAACCAGTCCATGTTGCCAGTGATGACTTACGAATCTGAGACGTGGTGCTTTTCACTACTAGCCGTATGAGAACGCCCAAGGTCACCCAGCGAGCTATGGTGAGGACTATGCCCGGGATTTCTCTGCGTGATAAACTTAGAAATTAGGATATCCGCAGTAGAACAAGAGTGACCGACATAGCCCAATGGTATGGCCCAATAGTAAGCTGAATAGGCCGGCCATATAGCTCGAAGAACCGACAGCCAATGGGGAAAAAACTTTCTCGAGTGGCAGCCTCGTACCGGTAGGCGTAGTGTAGGGCGACCCCCCACTAGATGGAGTGACAGGCAGGAAGTCGATGGGTGCAGGTGGCTCAGGACCGTGCTTTGTGGCATTCCTTGGGGGAAGTTTATGTTCAGCAATGGACTTGTGAAGGGCTGTAATGATTATGATGATGATATAGGGCATAAATTAAGAATTAGTAAATTTTATAAAAAAAAATTGAAAATATATTCCTAAGCAAATTAATAAAACCGATTTTGCGGTACTTTAGGCTTAGATACTTAAGACATTTCTGTGAAACGGGTTGTATTACAACAATAAAAGAATTATGTTTTTCATAATTGAAATTAATCGATTAGCTCTCCACTGCTCTCCTTTCGTGGCGAAATCTTTTAAAATGCGATTCGATGAGCCCTGTCTTTCCCTTTACTCGTTTCTTTACCAATGAAGTTGAAGAAGCGTGATAGGGGGGGGGGTGTTGGCCCCACATACCCGCGATTGTTGTCTTTGGATTTGGGTATGTCTTCACGAAAAACAACTTTACGTTATTACTGTAAGTAAATGTTTATGTATACCTAACAAATCATTGGTAATATAAATAAGAAATCATCTTAATAAAAACATTTTGCTCTATTATAAATTTAAAACTAAATTTCCTGACTAGAGCCCGGAAAACCAGAAAAAAAAATACTTTCACTAAGAAACAAAACACGTTTTTATTTTTGTTAAGAATAATTTAAGTATAATTAACAATGTTTAGCGTTGTTGGACGCTGCGGGCCAAATGTTCTATAATCCTTAAAATGAAATGTGCCCATATACTTTTAAATTTTTATAAAAGAAAGGAAGGAAAAAGTTTAAAGGGGGAAAAATATTCCTTTGATTATATACCTGTCATAGATTAGTTGTTTTTCAATATCGACATTTGTTTGTGTGGAACTTATCGTAATAGCATATTAACGAAGAATACCGACCACAACTACTGACGACGAATTATAATGCCCGATGCCCTCAGACAGAATTTCGGTCACAGCGGCTAATAGTAGCCAAAGAGTAAATAAACTAAGTTTAATATTATAGAGCACGAGTGCACAAGCACAGGTGCACTCTCTATTCCTCCACTCTCAAAGTCCGATGGGACGGCAACTCGGCAAGACCGGAGATTGACCAGGCGCAGGCTTTTGCTAAGCACAGGAGTGAAATAATGCCAACATCCTGATTTCGGGCTGCTACTGTAAATTCCTCGAGAAAAATCAAACAACTGATTTTTGACCAGACCCGAGACTTGCGTCCAGGATACGTGATCAGTGCTCGCGCTAACGACCACTAAAGCAACGAAGCAGTCTGATCGACAAATCTAATATATATAAATTACGTGTCACGTTGTTTGTCCACGATAGACTCCTAAACTACTCACCCGATTTTAATCAAATTTACACATCGTGTGAAATAAGAATAGAAGGGGAGTTGATCGAGCAAGTAGATGAGTTTTTATATTTGGGCTGCGTATTTAGCAGGGATGGGAGATATGATAAGGATATAGAACGACGAGTGAATGCGGGAAATAGAGTAAATGGGGCCTTGCACTCTATTGTGAAGAGTCAAAATGTGTCGAAAAAGGCACGTATGGCAATTCACAATGCTGTGTTGGTCCCTACTTTAACGTATGGTAGTGAAAGTTGGGTGTGGCAGAAGAAGCACGAGAGTAGAATAAACGCAGTAGAAATGCGGTCGTTAAGGAGTATGTTAGGGCTGAATCTGAATGACAGGGTAAGAAATTGTGTAATAAGAGAAGAGTGTGGTTTGCAAGATGATGTTGTGACCAGGATTAAGAAAGGAATGCTTCGGTGGTTTGGTCATGTGGAAAGAATGAATGAGGAAAGAGTGACAAAGAAAATTTATGTTGCAGAAGTGAATGGCAGAGTCGGAAAGGGACGTCCTAGGCGAAAATTTATCGACCAAATTGGCGATTTATTGGAAACGGGCCAAATTAGGAGTACCCTTAACCGACGAGCATGTATGCGTAGGTGTATGGATGTGAAGGAGGCGAGAGAGGTGTGTCAGGATCGTGCCAAATGGAAATCTGTAGTCTCTGCCTACCCCTCTGGGTGACAGGCGTGTTTATGGATTATGGATGGATTACACATCGTGTGTACTTTGGTCCAACTTGAGAGATAAGATAATTGTTATGCCCATGAATGACTCACAATTTTTGTTTTTGCGAATTTAAGGATTTTTAATAGGATATGACAAAGAGTCGTCGAAAAGGGCAGAACAAAGTCTGCCTGGCAAGCTAGTTATATACAAATTCAAAACAAAGAACAAGCCAGTATAGCTTTTATTATTTAAAATCTTTTGCTAAAGGCTATCGAACTCACAACTACTGTATCAATCGTATACTTATATCGACCGTCAGGACTAATGAATCAAGATGTCAGTCACCTTGCAATAGCTATGTATTTCTCCGTACACGGACGGTACGTATCTTGTAAGGCCGAAGGTGCAGAACAAGTTTTTATGTTAACAGATACCGTTGCAGTTCGCAATGATGTCAAGACCGTGTTGTGACCACGAAATGATAACCGGAACCATGAACTACTGGATCTCCATATGTTCGCAAACTTTGTATCCTATTTAATGATTTCTTATATTTACGCGAACACTACACATTGAAATAATACTAGTTTTTACGGAATTTATCGCGTATATTTTAACTTTTTAAATACCCGACGTTTCGAACGCTTTACAGCACTCATGGTCACGGGCAGGACTGAGATGTTCAACGTCCATATGTCATAATTAACCGCGGTTACCATAGATTAAAATTTAACTTTTGTTACGATTTTAATCTATGGTAACCGCGGTTAACTATGACATATGGACGTTGAACATCTCAGTCCCGCCCGTGACCATGAGTGCTGTAAAGCGTTCGAAACGTCGGGTATTTAAAAAGTTAAAATATACGCGATAAATTCCGTAAAAACTAGTATTATTTCAATTGTATCCTATTATTGTAATTTATAACTCATTACGCCCGCCATGTTAATTTTGTGCAGCATTATTTTCATAACATGATTCCTTATTCATTACAGCATATAAGGCACTGCTGAACATAAGCATCCGCAGAACAATTAGGATAGGACGAAATTTTTTATGTGGATTGGTAGATGACGCTGTTGTCACGATCCAATTCGATGGCCGATGCGAAACCGGTGCCGATCGCACTAAATTTGTTAATTAACTCGATTTTAATTGTGTAAGCCCGGCGAACAGAACATGTCACGGCGATATTATACGAGAGCTTAATTCATTCCCGGTTTAACCAACCCATTTAAGTGATACATCGATTGCTTAGCAAAGTGACTTCTGCACCAAAGATTACGACGTTATGGTATCGGACGAGCGTAAAATCAAAAGATTAAAAACCGCTGCGCTGAGTTCAATAACATACTCATACCAACTCGTATATATCACTTCACTGTGTGCAAAAATTAACTGTGTGTATTAGACAACTATGACAAACACTTAGAATTGTTAGATATATGAGTATTTTTTTTAAATAAAATAATAGTGACAATCGAGCACACAGTCCACCTGATGGTAAGAGGATGCTGTGGCCCATAGACATCTACATCCATCCTCAATTAAGAATCAAAATGTACACCCCTGAGGATAGAATGCCTCGTTTCAAGTAAAAGGGGTACCCGTTTCTCTACACTCACCATACGA